AAAAATGTCCCCCAAACAAGCAAGAGAACATGCATTTGTTAATGCATTTAGTTTAATACTTACATGTAAGAACAATAAGTGCATTTTATTTAATTGAGCTTTAATTATTGTCTGTGGAAGTTTTAATTAACTTAAGCAACAATGGGTTGGCAGAAGTTACAAATTGGGAGATTGTTTGCTTATTTATTGAAAAGCCATTGACCTTTTCGGCCCTGTTAAAATGTTTTTTACGAATTAATTATTTTTTGTATTCTGAGCCTCTCTCTCCATATGGCCCAATCATATACTGCTGCATTGACAGTCCCCTCAATCCCTACTCTCCTTACCCACTAAATCCTCCTGTCACCTTTGCACACATGCCCTCCCCACTATACCCATCCCCATCCAGCCCTTGCCTTTAGTCCAGAACCGGTAAAAAAATGTTAATTCCTTTTGATTGGTTCTCTGCAGCCCGGCAGATCGGCAGAGAAAGGCTCCGTGTGTGTGTGTAAATGCAGCAAGATATTAGCATGACAATTGTCTCATTCTCTTGCCTTCCCACAACCTGTCACTTAGGTGCTTTGAGCTGTGAATATATCAGCAGCCACGAATGAGGACCATGGGTTGGCTTTGCTTACAATGGCCAGCGCTGCTCACGCTTATCACAATTTTACTTTCACTCTGGTTACCGCTGTACGCTCATGCTCTAAGATTTTTTTTAAAGCATTGTAATAAGAAATACAAGTGGTTTGTATGACCCTATTAGCATAGTCTGGAGCACATCCAATGTGCACAGCTGTTGACCTTTAGCAATGGCTTTTGCGGTGTGACAGCCGTGTTGTGAACCCCTAAAGGTCGCCATAGCAGGTATTTGTGGTGAGCATCTCAGCTGGTGTCAAAAAGGGTGTTCGGCACATTCAAAGTAAGTCCGAGAGATTTTAGCAAGAGTATATTTTTTTGTTTACTATGTGTTGGGCTTTTTAAGCACGGAATGTAAACAGGTCATGACAACACGAAACGTGTGGCACGTTAACATTTGAAAGTAGCACAGCTGCGTGAGTGCATGGACCGTCGTCCACTCTTATTCTTGTTACAAATTCATATTCATTGTACAGAAGATAATTTTTAAAAGGGGGGGGGTGGGTCAAAAGCTTGAAATGCATTCAGAAAATGTTCAACGTTATTGGCCAAATGCAGTCAATGTAAATCAATCCCAGGCTTCGGGTCAATATCATTGAAATTGTAGGTAATGTTGCAGTTGTCAGTGTCATTGACCAACCATTCATAAACGGCCTTTAACAAATATCGAACAGTCATTTTTAGATTGTCCACAATTCGCCGAATTAAACATTATGGAATAGTTATTAAAATCAGGATACGCCTCCAGCTATTGTTGCAATTAATAATTTTGGGGCTAAATTGCATTCGTTGCATGAGCGTTACATGAGGGAGAGATAATGGTTACACGAGCTTTCACCTGCGGCTGCACTGCAGTAAGCAATGTTTTACTTTAAAGCGAACAGGGCAGGAGGAACTTGAACATGTGTGTAAACTTACATGGCTCTTCAAGAGTAAATTGAACATAGCGAATTAGAGCTACAGTTGCCAGCCTTTCATTGTACTGCGTTTGATTTGTATTTAAAACCCATGTGATATCAAATAAGTGTAAGCAACTGGTGAACAATGCTTTACTCGTAAGTGAAATAGATCACACGGTTTTGGCAGAACCTTTAACCTTTACACGTGACATTTTACTCAGCCATTAGAACATTTTTTTCGTGATAATCACTATTTATCATTTCACAAAACGTCTGAACATGGGTTTTTTTCCCAGCTATTACTGCTTGTTTAATATTGGCAAAACAACTGCTTATATTGGTCACCTCTGCGCTCTCATCCTTCTCACTCACACCCCGACCAACCCCCTCAAATACCAAGCCACAACAGCGTCTGCTCGTAAAGAGTGCGCTCGCAACAGTTCTGTGTTTGACATTTTGCAATCCGTTCAAAGCCTCGCCGAGGAAAAGCCAAGCGTTACAAAAACGCTAATTTTTTTTATTATGCTAATGTCTCTGTTAATCTCTGCAGCAGGAAATTAACGGTGCTGGCACTCCCAAGAGCGCTGGCCCATTGTTTTCTGTGGGGCGGCTCGGCGGAGGGTTTATCTCCCATTTCGGAAGCGTGAACGCATGTTTACTAATGACACATGCGCCCACACGGGCAGGATTTGGGCTTGCAATGACAGGATGAAATTCCATTAGCATTTTACGAGAACAGGCTTTAAACAGATGCAGCGGTCTCGTGGTATTAGGTCCACTAAGTCCGTCGCTTTGCAACATAGCAGGCAGCTTGCTCCCTGGACGGCCGTAGGAGCGGTGCGGATGGAATGACACTGAGTGTTTAAAATAGTTTTAATAACAGAAGCCAGTAGAAACCCACCTTCTATCGCGCTGTTGGGAATGTGAGAAACGCTTGTCGAAAAGCAGTTACCAATAAGAAGAGTTTAATTTCCATCAAGATTACATTCCCAGCGTATTTTACTTTGGTTTTGTTTACTCGACCAAAGAGTGATATAAACATTGTAAACTGAATTGCCAATTCAGTGCAAACAGAGATTTTACATGAAGCGAGCATAGGAAGAAAATAATATATAGATAAGGGAATACATTATTACATTTGTATTTTTACAATATTAAAATACAAAATAATCTTCTAGATGCTGTACACATCTGAATAGGAGTTCATCAGCAGCGAGACTCAAGTAGAAACGTAGGATGTGTTTTTGTTTCCTGTGGCATGAAACACTATATTGCACAACTGCTGCCATCACAGTGAAGTCAACAGACAAAGCCGTAGTTACAAAGTTGCTGGGAAATAACCTGGCACCTACTATCTGCCACGGTTGGGAAATATAATATATATTTATTTATGTTGAATAGATATACATCAAGTGAAAATTGCAAACAAATATCTTCAGATTATTAGTTTGTATGCCAGTGCGTTTATGTTACAGAATATTTCCTAATTAATACAGAGTAACATTCCCTTTTTCATCGCTATTATTACCATTGATTAAAACTTACTTTAATTTTCATGGTAATATTTGACTGCTGAATGTATACCCAATTAAATCTGAGCTGGCATTTCAAATGCAATGTATAAAGTCACAATGGTATAAAACGTAACTTCATCATTCCAATTATCATTGTATTATTATTTTACCGAATGTGCTATTGTCATTCTATTCCAGAGGAAATATGAAAAAAGCAGTTGTCAGATCTTCAATATTATTGTGTATTATTGAGTTTGCAGTGCATCTGAATCAAGTTGCAGCTCACATTTTTTTGCATTCATGGTTGGTGCTGTCACTCTAATGAGGGCACCAGAGGAACATAAATTAATGTATTCACTGTGTCCCCATAGCCCAGAGTATATGTCAAAACATGTGTTTCCAATGACCCATATCTAATTACATACCCTTTACGTCTCAGTCTCACGAAAAATGACAGCTAAGATATCGGAATAGTCTACGTAATAAATTATGTTATAATTGTATTAACAATGGTTATAATGAAGACGCTATATTAATACTTATTATAATAATATTGCTGACAATCACCTTACAATTATGAAATGGGCCAGGCTTTTTTTTGCGAATATGTGGTAAATATATTTGAATGTCCAACAGCGACTTACAGAATACCATTCAGTGGCCGATTATTGACGAGGCAAAAGTAAGGTCGAAAGTGAAAGAATAATAATAATTCAGTGCGGTAACAGTGCACCTCATTAAAATAATACACAAGCATAAGTGTTCCCCAGTTCCTCCTAAATGGGGTGCTGGGGGCCACTGTGCATTGGGACGGTGGGAAGAGCCCACTTTATTTTAGACTCTCATTGGCCTCTTGCTGCGATTCCATGGATGCCCTCCAAAGAGGTGGGTATGAGACATCACACACGCTTCGTCCACCCTCCCATTGGCCACACAGCACACCCATGTATGGGCGACCGGCGCTGTTTACATTCTGGCATTTCCATAACATAACTAATGACATGCGTAATGGCTTTGCACACATTTGACTGTTGCTGGTAGCCGTGCACCGCTGCAGTCTTAGTGTCAGGAGCAGTGGAGGCACTTCCACTACGGGACAAATGCGGCGCTCAACCTTACCCAAGTGTGGGAATATTTTTCTATAATGGACTTGGCAGTCGCATTGCCACGGTGGTCAGCCAGTCCCAGGACGTGTACTGCACACAGCGGCTTCAGGAGTCCTCGTTCTCAGCCATTAATTTTCATTCTGTCATTGGAGGAGAGTGGTTCCTGGAGACTCAGTGGTGACATCATTCGGCTTTTTAAACGCACAGTCATTAATGCAGAACGCAAATGCGTAGCAGTGGTAGAACAAGCGTAAAAAACCCACGTATCATGTATTAATAGTTCACTCAATAATAGCAATGCACAAGATGTAATATCCAGCCACCTAACCATGTCGGTTAGTCATTTAAAGTCACCTCGGTTGATATGCATTTTTAATCCCCTGGGCATGATGCAGTGGTGGGGCAGTATCCACCGTATCGTGTGCATTTGCACGTATGAGTAATGTGTCTGCGTGCGTGTGTACATATGTGTCCCTGTTTGTCTCGGCACATATGCATAATGTGGATTCATAATCGCCTCCCTCCCGGCCATGATTACTCTGCCATACGCTGACCTCCCCTTCCTCATTAACACTCATTAACACTCCCAATTAGCGCCACTAACTCATCTCCGGTGTGAAAATTACAATTAGAGGCTATAAAACACCGCTAATGAAGATGGCCAGGTTTTAATACAGCAGGCTGCCTGTTATGGGACCCCATTCTCGCAGAGTAATCTCTCTGTGAAGTGCAAGGCTATTCAGACCGTGCTGTGTGTGTGTGTGCTTGGCGCATAGGAGCCAGCACTCTCTGATATCCTTGCAAGCAGTTTGCAAGCACACTGACATTTGAAAACAATTTAAGACAATGGCACATTGCAAGTCTTTATTTAAAAAAAAAGCATTTTAAGTACTTCATTAAATCAAGAAAAGTTACATTTATAATGCAAAAACAATCGCTCAACAATGGAAGACAACTTTTTTCGATTGCATACATTTGTTATCTGCACGGGAAAATGTGTTTGTATTGTCAATTGTGTAAAAGTCACATTTACAACTTGCACAACATGCTTTTTTGACATTTTAAAATATTTAAAACTTTTATACATGCAAAATTGTACCATAATACTTATAGAAGTGTAACTCATTTAAAAACACATTTTTGTTTGTTTGTGTTTTTGGGAGCTTTTTGTACAATATGGCACTGCACACGCTGCCATTATTAAGTGTACGTACTTGCATTTAATGCATTTTTGTGCTGTGTATGACTGCCACCTGCTGTGTAAAACTGTGCAAATACGTTTGACCAATTCACATGAACTTTTTTCATTTGCTCAAAATACTAGAATCATATTTCGTGCCGAATACTTGTAAACATTCTCACAATCTGATGGAATCCAATAGATCACTGTTAACTATCCAGTAATTCCAATGTTTTCTTTTTTCGCAGACTGTACAATGCAACAGTTAAGATTACATAACCGTGTTCCATCCAATTCAAATACAGGTGTCTTTCTTTTGTGATAACAATAATACTTGTTGGTGCAATGTGCTATTAATTGATTCTTCATTTATTGCACTAAGAGTGACCTGGTGATAATCCATGGAGATGACCTCTTATAAAATACCTGGTTACCTATTGTTACACGGGACATATGTAAAACTTTGAATCATATTTTCAATATTTATTATGAAAAGATACAGAACTGACATGCAATGCTTCTACAATTGTTAAAACTGGGGAAACGTGACTGCAGGCTGTCTCGGATTCATGATAGGTAATTGTTGTACTTTAATTTATGCAATACTACACATCAGAGTAAATTACATTCCTTTGTCGGTGACAGTTGGTGAATCGGGGGGGGGCTCAGGACTGGTTCAAATATCACCCGTGACTAATGCCAACCATGGCCAGGAATCAAATGCAGGTCGCGCACCGCAGAACCTATAGTTTGATTCCAAGCCACGGAAAACGTGAGTCGCAAGTGATATATGAACCAGGCCTGAGTCCCTCCTTCAGCAAGAAGTATGGACCTGCATGATGAATTATGGTCAAACAGCACCGATAACTGATACGGTTACAAGGAGGTCTTCAGACAGCAGTGGAGAGGCAATGGAATAAAGGTCACTTCGTAAGGTACGCAGAAGCGATTGCCACCAGTGATTCATCTGCAAGGTTTTTCAACACCAGTGTTGCGCAATTTGTAAAATGTCCCTCGTTAAAAGTTTGGCCCAACGGCACATGTCAAAACTTTAGCAAGTAAAATTTAAGATGAAGGCCAGCAGAAATCTAAGCAAGGTCTTGCTTTGATGAACACGTGCTTTTTTATTGAGCAACATGTGTCTGAATAATATATTAACATATATATTTTTTGAAAAGTAGAACTTCTCCCGTTCAATCATACGTTGTGCTGGAGATGAGGACATTTTTTGCCGATCGGCTGCAGCGTGGTTTCTGCCCATTTATTTTTGATCATACTCATCACTCGGGAAAGAAGGTTTTGTGCTCTGTCAGGATGTGTTCAACGATCTGGTTCTGGTACATCATGTGCAGTGCAAAATGACCCACTTCCTGCTCCGGCCGGAGTAAAGTTGGTCCAAATACAATGGCCAGGTTCTGCACTGACATGCGATTTGTCTTCCCATGTGCCACAACCCTGCATGCACACACAAAGACAAAGTTCCCCCATATAGCCTTTCTTAGACTGTTGAGGAAGGTGCTGTTGGCGAAAACCTTTGAAGGCCGGCACGGCACACGTGGGGTTCCGAGGCTATCGCCACGACCAGCCGGCCGCCGCCGTCTCCCACACACCAAGACAAAGTTCCCCCTTATAGCCTTCACAGACTTTTGGGGCGAGTGCTGTTGGCGAGCACCTGTGAAGGTTAGCATGGCAAACGAGTGGGGGGTGGCCACATGCACATGCAAACACGATCGCACGTACGTGCACACACGTACGACATGCGCGCGTACATAGAGGGATGCGTAAGTGGATATAAACTGCTTCGCTGAGGCAATGAATATTTTGATGTGTACAGATGCAACTACTGAACGGTGTATTTCCATCCCACCCACCGCCGCATGCCAGCGATTTGATGAAATATTGTGAGTCAGATTTGATTCAGGAATCACATCATCGTACAACAAATATGGAAAGACATTGATTCTTGCACATGTGATTCAATGCAATTATCATGGGCTTTAAGAATGCATATTAACGATGCATGTTTGTATTGATACACGTCTATGATATTCGCATTTCATACTGAAAACCTCTGCTTCTAATTGTGTTGCATCTAGTCGTTGTTACTCTAATGAAGCTAGCACAGGTACAATGTCAATCTTATAAGGAATTTTGTCTTAACAATCATATTTAATACTTACGTACATTTTTCCTTTACAACACACTCAACGATCGACACGGATGGGTGCAAGAACCCATTTTATAAACTACAATTGTGATTATTTAATAACCCATCGGTTTGGATTACAGTGCGAATTTAGTCACCGCTCAAGATCATTTGTGCCGATTTTGGTGGATAAAAAATTAACCCGTAAAAACAAAGTTTTTCACTATAAATCCTTTATATGCGTGTTCAATGGGCCACAACCCAGCCCACATTGGTCTTTGAAACGGGCGGCTAGAGTCCTCTCGTCCTCTGGCTTGAGATGGCTGCCACCTATGGGTCAGATGATTGCCTGGCACCATTAAGCAATTGGTAATTAAATATAATTTTGTTTTACCTAAAAAGTGTAACATTTTGGAGAAAAAAATTTCACGAAAATAAATTGTCACGCACAACGAGTCTGTGTGCAAAATGTCAGCTCGATTGGATCACGGGAAGTGGGTTAAAAAACGACCGAGAGATTTGCACGGTCGTAAGCGCGCAAGCAAGCACGCAAGCAAGCGAACTTAATATAAAGGATTTTTTAAAAACGTCATAATGCACGCACCAATGCAATATGCACCTCCCATTAGCACGGTTGGCTACATACAAGTTCAACGTACACACATGCAATTGAAGCACTGTTTAAAGGAGAACATGTACAAGGACGTTGCTGTGGACGATGTGCCTGATGTCAAGACCTACTAGCTCCTGATATGCGGCGTTGGGAGCGTCTGTGCCCACATTTTTTAAGGGGTCAGACTTCGGGCCATGCAAAAGCAATGCCTGGATCAGCCTTTTCGGTGCAGGCGTTTGCCACGAGCACGGAAGCATGGATTCAAGCTGTGTGGAAGTGCACCCCCTGAAGGTTAGTACTGGACTTGCTACTGTTAAGGTCACACTCGTCCATATTGGGCTTGGCAATATATACATTCCCGTAAAATATTTTCGTAGGATAGCAATCTTTGCGTGTGCCTCCAGTCACGTCATGTACATAGCTTACACATATGGAGTTGACAAGTCTGGTATTAATTTAGGTACAAAAATGAAGATGATAAGTGTATTCCTTTATATTTATTGATTTCACACAAAGTGTGATATGAAATTGAGAATTAGCATCTATATAGCGAGCTCGAGTAGCATGTTACAGAGGTCGCAACCGGGTACCCGATACCCGTACCCTACCCGATACCCGGCCGGGTACGGGTACCCGTTTGCGACCCTGGTGCGGCCGGGTACGGGTACGGGTAGACCGTGAGTCACTGGTGAGTAACTGTTTGTCACTCATTTCCCAACGTCTTGTCTCTTCTCACAATTCAAGTTCCTAGAATCAACCCACCCGCGCCTGCAACATGGCTTCATCCCAGAGGTCGCAATCAGGTACCCGATACCCGTACCCGGCCGGGTACGGGTTGGGCACGGGTACGGCCGGGTACGGGTACCCGTTTGTGACCCTGGTGCAGCCGGGTACGGGTAAGGAATAAAAACTCGTTTGCGACCTCTGGCATGTTAGCATTGTTAAAGCAACTAAATTAAATAATTTAAAGAGGCTTACGTTGCTAAGTGGTTGAAGAGCAGTCTCATGGTTTCACGATTGGTGGGTGGCAAAATTGCGATCAGTTTCCCCATGCAGCGAATCTTTTCAGCATAGTCTTTTATTTCTGGAAGGAAAAGAAGAATGGCAACGCCATCGTCAATCAGCCAAAGAGACTGAAACACACGCACGATATGTAAGTGTTGATGCGTGCACTACATCTTCAAATAAAATATGACGAGTGAGTCCAAGCTGTTATTGTTGTATTTCGATTTAAAGCTTTCGTGACTGCAGGGATTCATCTTCTTGGTTCTTTCGGTAAAGTCACGTAGAAGGGAAGTAATAAAATAATAAAAATAAAACATAATAAAATAATTCTCACGACGTTTCGGCTACAACGCAAGCAGCCGTCCTCAGGTGAATGACGCTGTCTCCCCGACAGACCTGGTCTTCACCTGAGGACGGCTGCTTGCGTTGTGGCCCGAAACGTCGTGAGAATTATTTTATTATGTTTATTTTTATTATTTTATTATTTCCCTTCGACGTGACTTTACCGAAAGAACCAAGAAGATATTATTGTTGTAGTTAATGTTTTTTTTTAAGTACCACACATGCTTATCGCTTCACACTTAACGATACAAAGTAAACACGGTACTAATCCAACGTTCACAAACACGACAACTGATACATGTAGCTGACCGTGCCTGATATCAATTCTAATTGTGTTCTAGAAGGACTAAATTCCATGTCTGGTTTTCTATACAATTTGCACACCTTCAAATTTACAATTTGAGAAACTACCTTTTTTGACCGTGAGCCTCGCTCAATGAGCTCGTGTGCGTAGAATCACGCGTACAATTACACACACATTTACGATAAATACATCTCATACATATCGACTCTTACGATGAAGGGTTATAAATTATAACCATGCTCCGGAACGGGATATATTGTTGAAATTTGGCACAAATGTAGTCAAGTGTGTGCTTACGAATAGTTAAGCACACCCAAAATGTAATGCCCCCCAATTACAGCCCAGATATTGGTTGCATTTATAAGTATACGACCCCAACCTTTAGTGGAGTAAGTAATTTGCCTCCAGTTCAATGTTAAGCTGAAGCCAAATAGTGGCTGAAGACAATGAACGACAACTCGTAAATTCTATGATAATGTACCCCCTCTATGTGTACCGAATTCACTTCAAAGCTGTGAGCTGTGGGCACACTTTCATCACTCTGTATTTAACGCCCATTTCTTTATTTAAAAAACGTCTCCCATAATCGTCGAATGGTTCCAAACCTTCCAGCTACACACTGCACACTGCAGCACTCATGAAAACGCCACGCATGATGCCTCATGCCTGTTTGGAGGCCGTATTGGTGGCTGACACTAATGGTCATCACGTACGCAAGTCACATGCTTGCAGGGAAACGAGGTGGCAACTACATACTCGTGCATCAAATAGACAATCCAACTTATTTTAAATAACTTTTGAGGTATTCCCATCATATATGTGGGTTTTCCCCCCTGGCACTTTGACTTGAACCTTCGCGTACAAAATAAATCACAAATGCGGGATAAACCTGAAAGGCAGTCTCAGTGAGGCTATCTCCGGCAAAAAAAATAAGCAACCGTTTCTGTATTTGTACGACGATCGGCAAACGGTGTCTCGTGCATGAGCCGCGCTAAAAATCGATGGGATACGGACTGATGGCATTGATGAAGTGAGGGAAGAACTTGAACGGAAAGAGGGGCTCTGGAAGCTCCCGGAAGAACATCTTCAGGGCCCCTGTGATGACATGCACATCGTCCCACTGCGGCTCCTCCAGGTCCAGCTTCTCCTCTGGGAGGTTTCGTTGGGCACAACGGGGAAAGAAGAAGAAAAAAAAACATTTTCACGCACTTCAGGAGGGAGATCAAGCGTCGTCGTGTTAACGAGTCACCGTGCAGCTCAATGTAGCTCGACGCCAATTTAATGAACGTGTACGTTGAACTTCTTTCGCACCGTACGTAGCTAGCCGTGCTAATCGGAGGTGCGGCGGGGGGGGGGAAGGACAACAAACCAAAGACTATAAGCAGTTCTCATAAATGAGTGTTCAATCAAGATTTAAAATAACAAGCTAAACGGATTTCGGATGAAATCATCTTTTTTGCTGCACGTTGCAGAGGTTCGCGGTGCAAGCCCAGTGACCGCCCTGGTTCAAGATCCTGCGACGTTATTCGAAAAAAAGGAGGCCGTGTATCTTCTGCCACCACGCTCCTAATTTACAATAGTCGCAAAATACCTCATTGGGTAAAGCCACTTAGAAACATCATCCACTGCTGGGAAACTACTGCACACAACAAACATTATCTGCGCGATATGGTTCGTTAGAAATAAATGATGCGAATAGCAACTAAATGTACTCCTGATTTAATTGACGTGAACAAATGCTTTAATCAATCCATAACCTTTAAAATCAAGTGAGGCACTAAGTGGGGTTGTTTTTTTTTGCAAAGGGAGACCAGCAGTGCGATGATACATGTAAAAAGCACCAAGTGCAATTTTCATTTGCAGAAATAAATCAATATGATCAATATTGATCACGACTCTGAAAATTACAATATAACTGCTGTTCAAAGAACACTGATTGCATTCATAAATGAAAATTAGAAAATTGATTCACAAGGGTAGAAAGTGCTATTGCCTATTTCACATGAATGTAAAGAGAGATAGCTAATGTCATGTATTGTTTTTGGAATCTTCATTGACTCAATAATCTTTTTTTCAGGAGGGTTCATGCGAAAATATATTGTCAATTCCTTTTTCCGGAGAGTTTTCTGCGTTCGAAGAGTACGCAGAGAAACATCACGCATATGAGGATGTGGGTCACAAAGTCACGTGATGTACTGCCATTTCCTGGCCATCTCACAGGCCCGAAGGTCTGGGAGTTTCGCAAACCATTGCAGTCCATTAACCCTTTCCTCCAGGGCACTGACCTCTGGGTATACAGCACCAGCATGCCCAGCGTGCTCACGTAAAGTAGTACCATTGACCACAATTCATGTAATATACAGCAATTTGGAAATCCACTGTTGGATACCGGGGTTGTTTGATAATTTTTTGTGCGGATTCGTAAAGAGGGCCCTGCACTGGTTCAGATATCGCTGTAGCCATGGCCGGGCAGCGAATTAGTGTCACCGAGTTCATAGGTGCCGTGCCACTAACCATAAACGACTCCACCGTGTGCCGTTTCGTTTGTAAAAAAAAAAATACTTCCAGATAAGTTGTACATTGCTTTAAAAGCAAGCACGTTTACATAGCTGCTTTGTAAACATTCTTTCGCGCGCAATAATCTCAACAGCATGGACACGTAGACCACCTCACTGCCCCGTGGCGTAAACAATCAGTGGCTTAAGTGGGTGAATTCTCCGTGGTGGCGAAGTAGCGGGGGTGGGGTGAGAGAATACGTTTTTTTCTCAGTAAAAAGCACTAGAGGTAGTAATACCAACAGCAGAACCCCATTTAGTCGAAAAATAAATAGTCCAGCAGCTGGAAATAGACCCTGCTGGGCCCCCTCCAGCTTTAACCCCAGGGCACTAAATGTATTCTGAGGGTAATGCTATATGACGCCAAGAAAGAAAAATATGTAAGTCAGCATTTCATATGCCTCGGTGAAGGTGTATTGGCTCTCATGCAAAAAACGATCTGATCCACACTTTACTGGGACTGCATGTACCAATTCGCGCTATGCTTGCTTGCTGGTCTGTTGTTAGTTATTTGTTGTCGACTGCCTTATAGGTGGAAGCAAAGGTGGAAGATTATGAATGTTGGTCGAAAGCAAAGTTGATATGCACGAGAAGTATAAGCCTGTTGGCTGAAACCTGCTTTTGAAATGCAAAACATGAAGCCTCTTTAGTAAATTCTATGCTGCCGAAAAGTTTCCATAATTGGCATGAAGATACATTTCCATGTAAATATTTTAAAAGCTCCTTGGCATTTGCTATCTGAAATATGAATGCAATTGTAATCCTCGAAGTATAAAATAATTGCTTTATTAATTTGGACACTAATAATGGGCTTACACAGTTTTACTTCCATAATAAATAAACAATGCTTAAAACATAATCATGGCCATTCTGGGTCACGCAAGTGGTTCCCTTCATGAATTTCAATTCCCCTATGGACACCTGTCTCCTATGGAATGGCATTTTAATTTTAAGTGCTGCTTGAAAGCCTCCTGAGGCCAGCCTCGGGATTACCACTGCACCCACACAGCACGCACGCAAATGGTAAAAGTGGCACATTTTTGACAGCTATATCATGTGTTGCGGAAGGCAAATTTGGCCCATGCTTCAGTATATTTTTTGTTACAAATAGGGTCGTGGCATGTTCAATTGCTATGGTATACAGCAGCCTTTGCTTAAAGCCTTCTCTGAGGGATTCACAGGCCGTAATAGAACAGAGGCCAAAACTGGGTTTTGTATTCGTCCAATGTTGTGCTCTGGTGAATACTCTGCCACTAATCCTACTTTTCCGCCCTTGTTTGGTGACTGCGTATAATTCGGCTTTTCTGGGCACACATGTTTGATTTTACACGTGACATAATTGGATATGCAACCTCTCACCATGGTCCACGATGAATCTCAACTTCTGTATAGTGGCCAGATTTCCACTGACCCTGTAAATCCCGTCCACTTGCAGACCTGCGGTCAGAAAGGAAAACGAGAACTTCATTCAGCCAGGATTAAGTGAAACAATTATACAACGGGGCTGTGTCGAGCTTCAGTGCCTGCTGCATAGGAATTTTGGGTTAAGGTATCCTTTTATCTTGATGTTTGTCGCTATTGTGTATACATCATTGGCAAATGTATAGGGCATGCTTAAAAACTGTAAATGAAATGAGCACAGTGGGGACACACAGGAGGAATTTCTTGGAACAGCCTACAATAAAAGTGCTGCAGTGGGGGAAAAAAAGTCTACTGGATCATTTAAAAAGCAGTTGGAGGAGGTTTTAGTAGACCAGGTGCTTAGAGAATATGGTACGGCCATTTACGGTTAGAAAATGCTCTTTTACATCTTGCGGGAAATCGGGAACAGTAGAAGGGCAGAGCCTGCAGCACAAAGGGCAAGACTGACTGGCCCATTCGCTTTCCAAAACGTCTAATGTTCTGGAGTTGTTTTATTGTAATGTATTGGTTTAATTGGTGTGTGCCCATGTGTGTGTGTGTGCATGTGGGGAGCAGTAGTGTAGCAGTTTGCACCCTGCGCTACGAACCCAGTTACCCGAGTTCAATTCCCGCTCACAGCTAATACCAGTGATGATTATCTGAACCGGTCCTGGGGCTCTCCTAGGTCGACTCAGCCTTAAATGAGTACCTGTTGCAGTGTGTAAACTTCACCCCTTGGGAGACAAAAGCGGCCGGGCGTGGTGCTGACCACTCACCCCCTTTGTGCCATGCTGGCCTTCACAGGTATTCACTAACAACACTTGCCCCAAAAGTCTGTTCAAGCTATCTGGGGAATCTTTGTTTTCCACATGTGCACATACTTTTTTGTGTTCATGTGTTTGTGGGCACACATAAGAGCGACCTACTTTTACTCTATATTTGTTGAAATTATTCACTATTTGTGTATATTTTAATAAACTTCAGGATGAAGCACTGGTGCAGCACTGCACACACGTGATGTAATTCCAACGCCTTGGAATTACATCGCTCTTTAGATGTGTAATGCGGGCGTAAATGGGCGGGGCGGATATGACGATCCGAGAGGGAGGAGTCAGGGTGACGTGGGGGAGAAGTTATAGCGGGGAGACAGGAAGCTATCTGGGGAGTCGGGGGAGTGAAGGGTGGTGAACACGTTGGGTGGTCGCCGTGCCTCAGCCTGGTGGCTGAGGGGCTCATGACGGCGCCAGCCAGCGGGGTGGAAGAGAGAGTGGAGGATTGAGGTTGGAAATGGCGAGATAGCCACAGAGGCCACGAAGGGCTGACATTGGGAGGTGGCGAGATCGCCACGCACGGAGGAACAGGGAGCAGCGATGGAGCTGCTGGGGGAGCAGCCAGAGGGCTGTACCAAGAGCCTGCAGCGGAGCTGCAGGAGCGTGGAAGGCTACGGGAGCGAAGGCAGATGTGGGGCTGCCAGGGAGAGAGTCTCAGGAGGAGTGCCGTGTGGGAAGGAGAACGCGAACCCCAAATAAAGGACACGAAGACAGAAAGAAGTGTCTGAGTCCTTTTATTACAGATGTATGCATGGGTGAGAATGTGTTTGCACTAATCTGTGGAGAGAGTGGCTCGCGCAAGCCGCTGCAAAACCAGAAAGCTGCATGTAACCCCAGCTACCACAAATATCTGTGTCAAGTGATATCTTAATCAGTCCTGGGCCTTTACTAGGTCCACTCAGCCGTAAATGAACAACACTTGACACTTGTGTAAACATCAGCACTTTCAACACTTTGAAACCAAAGGCTACACGACTACCTCACGTGCCATAGCATCATCATATATATTTTACAGATTTAGTGAAATGTATTCATTATTTTTCAATCAAAATGTAATGAACATGGGAGTTAGGTGCAACGTAGCACCAAATACATGTCGAAATGTACATTTAAATCTGTACTTACAGTATATGCTACAGCTTTGGTTACTAACTACCAGCACATAAGAATGGTGAATTCAGAGTGGTTCACCATTGATTATGGACTCAGACAGTGTAGAGTTCCGTCAGCAATGTAATTTATAACTGTAATGGATGAAGTCTGGAGTTTCGGTATAAGCAGAAACTGCAAGTCAAATGTAGTGTTCTTTGCTGATTCTTCAATAATTTGGGCTGGGGAAAAAACTGCAGAAATAACTGAATAGAATAATTGAATGGATTAAAGATTCCGAAATTAAAACCTAATTAATTTTACACTTGCTTACCCAGGAAAGCCTCACTGAATTCCAATACGTTTTTTTGGAGGGTTCTGCCAAGTTATGGCCAAAGGAGGTGACGTTGCTGCTGTGTAACCAAATTGTGTCACTTGTCGGCATTGCTTTCAGCGTTTGGATGTTTGGCAATAGCAGTCACACTGTGTGTGTGTGTGTGTGTTTAAGCTATGGGAGGAAACCAGAGGACTCGGAGGGAACCCACGCAGAGCAGGGAGAGAGAACATTCAAACTCCACACAGAAAGGAATTGAACCCAGGTAACTTCTTGTTGTCAGTTCAAGTTCAAGTTCATTTATTAGGTATAGCCCTGTGAGCCATTCGGCTCTTGAATCGGGTGCAACCGCAACAAAGGTCTTGTTGACATCGCTCCAACCCTGCCACCCCAATTAAAATAAATGGCAGGATTGATTAACTCGTGATTATGGATATATATTTAGAAAAACAGTCGACGAATAAACTTTATAGGGGAAGATTTGAAGAGCTTAGAGAGATCCAAGTGTCTTGGAAGCAAGGTCTCAGGTAGGACACTGCAGTGGCAAAGAGAGGCGACTTGGTTTTGTATAACGCATTCGCACTAATGCTGACCTATACAGCATACGCATGGACTTTGGCAAAAAGGGAAGAAACAGATTGCAGGTGAAAGAAATTAGGTTATTAAAACACATTGTTGGGGGGGGGGGTGGAAACGTAGATGGTATTGAATGAAAGATCTTGAAGTCGTGGAAGAACAGTGGAATAAATTCTGGAAAAAAAATGTATAGGAAGGGCAAAATTGAAATGTTATGGACACATAAAAAGAATTGAAAACACTCGGCTGCCAAAAGAGCTGTATCGAATGGAAATAACACAGTGGAAAAGGCCGAGGGGCCATCCAAGATAAAGATGGAGTGAAATGTGAAGGAGGACTTGGAAGATAGAGGTGAGGACTCGAGAGTAGCGGAGGAAGGGCAGAGAGTTTGTCGAATAACAAAAAATACGTGGAGGCTTTGCAAAATCAGCCGACCCAGCAACATGTTGGATGTATGGAAGGGTGGTAGTGGTGGTGGTGATGAATCACAGCACATATTTAAACTTAGTACATTATAAAATCTTGACTTAAAGCTTTCGTGACTGCGGGAATTCATATTCTTTGGGTATTTCGGTAAAGCCACGTAAATAGAAAAAATAATACAAATATCACGACGTTTCGATCGCAACACAAGCAATCGAAACGTCGAGATATTATTATTATTTTTTCTATCTACGTGGCTTTACCGAATGACCCAAAGAATACATTATACAATGTAAGGCGCTGTGTTTTTCATTGTTCTTTATACCTATATCTGATACCATGAACATCATTGCTGCATGTGAGCCTCCTCTCACATGCTAACTTGTGCCCTTTGCCCCACATAACGCCTTTTTTCTGGGCTGGAATTTAATCAATTCAGTTTCAGAAGAAGCTCCCAGCACGTGGGGGGGGGAGGGCGAAACGTCGGACATCGCACCGAACGTCAACAACCCGCAAACACATCGGAGCGCTACGCAGCTCGGCCGGCGAATGCCCACGCAAGCAGGTACAACCTCACGGACTAGCACGGCTACGTAGGATGTGAGTGAGAGAAGCTCAGCAGACATGCGTCGAGAGCCCGTCACCTTTCCTCTCCACGCATTGAACGCTGAGCCTGGCAAAGTTGGGCACCGTGGATCCCTCCCGCTCGCAGAGAGTCTGCAGGGGGCAGCCAAAGACTTGTTCTGGAGCAAACGGCGACAGCGGGAGCGGACAGCATCACGTGGGCGGGTCGGCAAACGAAGTGGTTAACGTGGGTCGAGATTTGAAGCTTTCGTGACCGCGAGGATTCCTACTCTTGGGTTTTTTTCGGTAAAGTCACGTTGGTAAAATATAAAAAGAAATAATAGAAATAATAATGTAAATAAAATTATAAATCACGACGTTTCGGAGGCAACACAAGTCTCCGTCATCAGGTGGGACCGTCACAGCTAAATTTACTGTATCAAGTGACGGTCCCACCTGATGACGGAGACTTGTGTTGCCTCCGAAACGTCGTGATTTATTATTTTATTTCTATTATAATTTCTATTATTATTACTTATTTTTATTTTTTACCTACGTGACTTTACCGAACAAACCTAAGAGTATGGTTAACGTGGGCATTCGTGTTGAATTGATATGTATATACGCTCGTATATGTTTTAAAAAAACGTACGTGATTAAATGTGCCAAGATTTCAGGAGGCAGAATATGGGGCACTAATTCGTTTGTTATGAAGTGCAAAATCACCTATGTAAGTGCTCATACAATATAACAGGTTACTCGTAAAACATGTGTCAAATGGAGCTTCAAGACGAATCTAATATAAAGTTCAAGCAACTTATTCAGAATTTTTTGTAATGTTTTTACAGCCTACCGTGCGAGTGTGTTTTTCTAAGGTATCATATGCTTCGCGATGTCATGGACACTTTTAGGTCTGCCATGAGAATGTACATGCGTAATACAATACCTTTGATGATGCCTTTTTCTTCCAAGTCTTTCCTCGTAGGTCGTCTTGAGATGAGATTTTTCAGTTTGTTTTTGTTATCTATGGTGGAGACTCTTCTGCCTACTATAAGAATATAATATATGCAAACATTCATGATGAATAAAACTAGTACTGTTGTATATCACTGGCAATCATCTCAAAGGAACCATTCATTTTGAATTAAGATTATTTGAAACTAATTAGTAACTCACAAATCACTGTGCACTTTGGAAGATTTAGTCAACGTGAATTCCTGCTCCAATGAACGTCAAGGTGGTTCTCATCTCCTCCACTACAGCCCTGAGCCAGCAGTGGCATAAGCGATACTCTTGATTCTGCATTCCCATGGCATCCAACACTGTTGACTTTGCCCCAGTGGCGGCTCCTGCAAAATCTCTCAGGGGGGGCAAATGTCTGGATGATTGATAAGGATAAGGTCCACCCATGCAATGGATAAATTAACAGCTTAAGCATGTGAAGGCAACTTCACTTCTTTAATATTAATGAAAAATAAAGTGACTCTTACAATACATCTTGTTTGTTTCTATACTCACTATTAATACAATCCACTCAAGTTTATTTTATTAAAGATTCCACTAGGTGGCGACAAATTATATTGTTGGATGAAACGTGCTTACGTATGATGACGTAAGCACGTTAGGGCGAGCCCTCCCGGAAGCCATAGAGAATGCATTGCAGCGCCCCCCTGTTCGAAAAAAAACATCTTTGAATGTAAGTCTATGGGGCCACTCGGGGCGATTCTCAGCCGGAGTGAAATCGCTCAAAAAGAGGTGGTACTCCACAGAACGTGACATGACGCTGATTGGACTATATCCAGAGGCACAGTGACGGCTAGCGTGACTCTGTGGTTGAATGACATTGGTGGTGCGTCGGCCAATCGCCCTAATGAAGAAACCGCCCCTGCTTTGCCCACAAAATGGTTCTCATTGCATGGACCGCAAGGGACGACAGACTGAGCCAACGCACAGCCAGGATTCGAACTCGCAACCTTCCGATTGCGAGCCGCTCACTTTTTCGACGAGTCACGTGGCCAGCTGAGCCACCTGGCCAGGTAAAGATTTTCCATCCATAATAATCAATGGCAGTGTTGGTGGACGACAAAGTCACCTTGGTGCAAATTTGCAACATTCCTATCTGAAAACTGGCCAATGTGCTTTTCAATCACTTGTATAAAACTGTCGTTACTCTGCAAACGTCGCTAAAATGTTAACATTGGCAGTGGTCATTTCCATTCGCTGGTTCTCAGCCAGTGGTGGGAATTAAATATTTGGTGTGGTCTAGTTTTGTTATGGAACCACCGCTGTTGAATTTCTACCAACAGCTCACAAGTTAAGTGTTCACATTAAGTGTTCATATTATTTTCCAACAAACGAAATTGAAAACAAGACAAACAAATAATTACGTATTATTCTGGAGAATGTTAAGAACAAAATAAGTATTTCTTGCTTCCCATATTTGTCTTTCCGCAATTTTCTTTTTACGCAATCCGTCAGCAGCACTCCCTTCTGGGAGTATATCTTTATCAGCAGAATTGATTCTAGACATGCAGACTTAACCAGTTTCGACATTCAGTGGCTCATCAGCAGACAGGCTTGCTTGATCCAATTTCGGCAAACTGCCCAATTTTGCTTTGATTGAACCAATGCTGCTGGTAAATGCATCCTGCAAAGGCTGTGTGGCTGATGGTATTTGAATTTTTGTTTTACTTTTAGATGACTTTTTAATGTGGAGAAACAAACAAGGGAAGCAGGCGTTATTTATTTCCAAATTGAATGCCGACTGTTCTATTCTAAAATATGTTAGAAACACATTTATGAATCATTATTGTGTAATGGTCTGTTAAATATAAATAACTGACCAAAATTGTTGTGTCATATTGTCAAAGGGCTGAATGTTATTTTTATATTTGTTTTTACATACTGAACCAGATTCTGTTTCAAAAGGAAATCCTGTCTGTTGTGAATTCGAGTCAGAAGTATGTTGGCTGGTCTCCAATGTACAAATTCCCCACGATTCAGAATACGAATCATAGGCAACGTTTTGTGATGAACAGGCAAGGCCCGGATTACATAATTTACGATAGCTGCCGGCTAGGGGTATTTTTACCCTCAAGGCACAAAGGCTTAAGTCTTTGCGTAAATTCTTAATGTGAATTCAAGAATCCATTTACTTCCGCTATTGGCTATAACGGTTGGATTTTTTTGACAAGTTAAAACATTTTTTTAAATTAGAGACATCTGGCAGGGATCTAATTTGGCACGAGCACAGAGAAATAAAAAATGCATGCCTTTTCTTTTCAATGGAGGAATTTTTGTGGTTTGTTAGCCTACAGTTTTTGTGCTTCTTTAGTAAAAGGTTGGGTGTTCCTATGTGCTTTAAATGTAAAAGGCGTGTATACTTACAGTGTAGAAACCTGCTCTCTCTGTTGCTAGACCGGGTGATAGTTGGCTGAATTTTGGGTAGACTAGTGACTTCATCGTGAGCTGTCAACTTGCTGTCAGAGTCATCATTTGAGCTGTTTGGGAGCTGAGGACAAATTAAAAAAATATGTTTCAATATAAGAAGGCACTGAGTAAAATATGGACTATGAAGTTCATGTAATCGCTGTCTAACCCTGTGCCAATGGATGATTTAATATCCTAAAACGTGAAATGGTATCTCGAGAAAAGAAAGCATACAACAGGCCAGCAACTGCCACATTGCTCTCAATGGTCATGATACAACAGAATAAAATAACGTATTACGTCTAAAATATGTTCTATAAGTCTTAAAAAATATATATATGGAATATATTAATCATTTAATTCGATGCCCAATGCGCAATGGAGCCAGAGCACAATCATTAGAGAAACATCAGGACTGACACGCACTTTTCAATTCTTTCCTTGAAAATATCCTGGTTTAATTGTTTTGTTTTATTAGTTTTGTATTGGTCATTGAGGCCAGAGATAGAATACATCTACATGCATGCTACTCAAACTGTGGCAGTGTTTGACTCTTATCTTAAGTAGGATAAGAACTTGAGATGTATAGATTTCAGACCAGATTTTGAGTCACTTTATGGATCTCCTGAAGCCACTGATTGACGTTTTCTTCTTTATCTGACTGTAGCAGATAGACATCTTCAGAGACGGTGGTCATCTAATGCACACACATACCACCCTTAATAGCACAGCACAGCCAGAAACAGTGAACATCATCAGTATCTCCATACCGAGCATTGTCTAAGTGGTGGCCAAAGCCCAAAGGAGTCTTTCTGAACTCCACACGTGGACTCACAAAGGGACAACCTAGTTTGGGAGTAATTCTTCAAATTTGCCCATGACACCAGCACACAATGACCAGCCCTTGAGCACAATGCCTTGGGACATTTGCATGCACAGAGATCACCAGATGGTGCATTTATCTGACAATGTCCTTTTCATCACATTATCAATCAGGATGCTAGGTTTGGTTTTAAGGCCATGAACTCTACCCTTATTGTCAAACACTCTTGACCACTAGGCTATACAAAATATAACCATTCTGATTAACTATATACATTTGCGCAGACATTTTCATCTTTTCTGACCAGGTTCATACCTCGCTTATCGTGAACTGTGAAATATTTGTCACGTGCCTGGTTAACTGTTAAATTAAGGCACACTCTAAGGCATATTAAGGGCACGCTTCCATGGCCACAAATACCATGAGAAAATTCAGAATGACACATTGCATTAAGCATGACTTTGTTACTGACCAGGCCATTGCACTGACTCTAAGAAAACGAGCACCATGCCATGTGTGGAATCAGTCGCGAGCATAGGTGGATTACATCACTCTTGGCTCGGGGGATAAACTGAGCTGATGCAGGTGTCCTGATTTTCCATAACAGGAGAGGTCACTATACACATCTTGTGTTAATTCTAGATTTGAAGTTTTCGTGACTGCAAGGATCCATACTCTTTGTTTTTTTCGATAAAGTCACCTAGGTACAAAAATATAAAATAAATAAGTAAAATTTCACTTTTTCATTTTATATGTTTTACCTACGTGACTTTACCGAAAAAAAAACAAAGAGTACATCTTGTGTTGTTATTTTCTACAGTGTAGAACTGTATTGCTCCATCACCCAACACGGGACCCAATGTGCGACGCAGAGAGTGTGCAAAATGTTTTGAGAACGAGGCACCAACCATGCCACACCTACCCACTGTTACGCTAACTTCAAAAATAAGTTTTAGGCACGAGCAATATACCATGACATTAATAAATCCTAATTTGGGGTTTGAAGGTAAATTTGCTTAAAGGTAAATGGTATGACTCGTGTAATGAATATATAACAAAAAAATAAATCTGCTTGAAAGCGGTTTGGTATCATTTGATATTTCGACGCAGCTTGCCAGAAAAAGACTGCAGCATCACAGATGCGATTCATTATTTAATTCGCAGAGTCATTCATTACATTTTTTTCGAAGAATGCATAATGCAAATTGTGCTTGGGTAATGGAACAGACAGGACTTATTCGAGATACATTACACAAGCATGACTTAACTTCGTAAAATGTTGTGACCGGTGATTTATTGCATGCAGAGTGCATCATCATTCATAGCAAAGAAAACATTGTCTGCTACGCTAGCTGATGTTGGTCTGGAACGTAATTTTGCGCTGAATTGCAAACATAAGTTTAGTTCAGCGGTGGTCAAAGTATTAAATTGTTAACACGCTTTAATTCTGCAAAGTAATACAGATTTTAATGACGTATCCCATCACTCATTGATATTCTTATACGTTAATGATGTGCCCCTGACATTGAATACATTTCCATTAGAGTTGTAATGATTAACCCCCCTTCACCCCCCAATAACTGAATGAATTGTCACAATTTAGAGTTTTAATTCGATATGGGAATCTAGTTAACACGGGGGTGGTGATGTGAACCCATGACATACACTACAATTTATATGGATCGAGAAACACTGGTTCTCACACACCCAATTCTAAGCATGTGTAGTGATGTTAAATGGATCATCACTACGGCGCGTAGCGCCAAGTGCTGTAGTAATGGGCGCTGAGGCTAACACACCATGCAGTACCACTCAGTGTGCCACTAGGGGCATGGTACTGGGTGCTCGCAGAAGGAAGCAAGATGAGTCCCACCGGCAGAGGAGGGGATAGCAGCCTCCGCCACGCCGCAGGTAATTGCCACGGAGTCGGTCACTGGGGGAGTGTGGTGGGGGGCGGCTGGCGGTAGGGGGGGGAGCATGTCATGTGGGGACGAGTCACCCCGGCACCGGGTTAAGCACGTGATGGGCCGGGGTGAGGAATGTGGGTCAAAGGTGAACGAGGGGCCACGGGAAGAGGAGCTGAGAAACGTCTGGAGAGTTCCTGCGGGGGGCGTTGTTAAGAGAGGGAACAGGCGTCAGGTGGCCTGGAACCTTCGGGAATATTCCAGAGGTAGGCGCGGCCTGGGGTGGAGCCAGGCCGTGCCAAGAAGGATAAAAGGGAAGCTCCAATCGAATATTGGGGCTGTCTACATGTGAAATGACACTCAAGTGCTACGTCTACGTTTTCAACATCGTGGGTCAGGCAGCACGTTGGCTGCTCTGACCCGATTATAGTTATCCCGTATGCGAGAGAGATAGGTGTCATGTGGTCCTATGCGTAACAAGAGTGAGATATATGTGTATTTAGTCCCGTGTGTAACAGTGTTGCATAAAGTGTAAAATAAACGTCGTTGCCTCCTAAATACTGTCTCTGAATGACTCACGACACAGGTACAGCTTGTGAAGTGCTTCGTTGATTAATATGTGCATTGGTATACCTCTAATTTGCACATTAAACGTTTAATTAGCCAATATACAACAATGCCATTATTTACATTTGAAGTGAGACTGCTAATTGTTACATTTGACTTTTAATTGACCCAGAGTCAGAGTTATTGTTTATTGCCACTGAGCCAATGAAGAGTAATAACTTACACCTCCTGATAATGGCAATGCTGTACGATTTGCTATGACCCGGCGCTGTGTTCATGGGATGCCGAATCAGTGCAGCGGCCAGCAACCCTGGACTTGCGATCCAGAGGTCGCCGGTCCGACCTCTCGCCGTGGCAGTTGAAACAACGATGCAAGTTTCTTTAAATCCCCACCCCTCACCCCGCCCCTGTCCACCCCGCAGAATAGATGGGTGCAGCCCAGTGAGAGTCGTTCAACAGGCCGTGTGCGGTGAGGACAGATGCGGATGCTCCCGCCTCTACTGGCAAATCTAGCCTGAGTGATCCTTCTGCCAACGCGTTATGGTGGCGAGACGGAGCCATGGTGGTGAGAGGTTAACTACTTCGTGTGGTGTGTAGTAGGTCGTGGGTTCGATCCCGACCCTGACGCCGATGTACTTTAAGTTAGCGTGTCTCTGTCCCCATGGTCACGCAGATTTTTCTCTGGGTTCTCCGGTATTTTTCTCTACACATTTAGAAACATGCGTTTAGAGAATTTGGCTGCAATAAATTTGCACACGGTAAGCCACTTCATAGAGCTAACATATGCGGCCAGGTCACTTCTAAAAAAAAACGCACTAGAGCTGAGTGGGCCTTACCTGGTAAAATAAAATGAAATTTTTTTTGTTGAGTGTCGCTGTGGTGACAAATTAATTGCAGGGCTGCTGCACCCTTTTACCTTTTTGACTGTTTAAACGAGAGCAGGCCATTTGCATGCACACGCCACGATCGATTCATCATCCACAGTCCCTCCGATTATCCAAGAGGGAAGGGTGACGTTTGCTTTGGCACCGGGGGCACCTGTGAGTTATGTCCCTCCGCACTAAATGTGACCGAGCAGAATGAATGAAATGCGTTTGCGCACCTGCATGACGTTCTTCTTGCTCGACTTGTCACGTACCGCCTCGATCCGAGCCCCACGAAGACAAACGGCGTGCAATCCCTTCGTGGACATTGAGGCCAGTTTCTAGAAGGTGGGGGACGGGCACGTGGCAGTCACGCAACAATTGAGGGTAGGCGCACGACCCAACGGTGGCGTTCTACGATCACGTGAAGGCAAACCGCGGCGCCCGAGCAGCAATTCAACGGCATGCTATTTATTCCAGATTTGAAGCTTTCGTGACTGCAAAGATTCATACTCTTAGTTCTTTCGGTAAAGTCACGTAGGTAAAAAATGAAATTTAAATTAATAAAAAATAAAATAAAAATCACGACGTGTGACGGTCCCACCTGATGACGGAGACTTGTGTTGCCTCCGAAACGTCGTGATTTTTATTTTATTTTTATTAATTTTAATTTCATTTTTTACCTACGTGACTTTACCGAAAGAACTAAGAGTAGGCATGCTTTTTGTCACGCCTCGACTTACGATAGTTGCTTGTATATAAAAGGCAAGGTTTTGTTGATTTTAATGCATTTCCGTATAAATATTTGGAAAGCTGTCAAGCAATAACACATGTATTCTTAATAGTGTGTGTGTGTCTATGAGTTCTTTCGCATTAGCACCAATCTGGTGTGTACGCACCCAGCCAGGTCCACTTTCTTTGAAGCTTATAGTTGAAGTTGTTAGAGTAACAAAGACGTTTGACCAGCTTTTCCTGCCAAACAAATGACATTGCATCAACTGTTATGAATGGGCAATATTTCACGAGACAACACAGTCTGGTTACAATGGACGTTATTGTTCTTCACGTTGACTAGTACGACTGGCTGCATGGTCTGGCTATAAATTGATCGTAAGAGCACAACTAGTTTTAAACACACGTTGGTAATGACTTGCGTAATTCTGCAGTTGTTAGTGCTGTCTATACGGAGGACTTTATTTGGTAATGCTGTGTTGGCAGTGTTCTTGACAAATGTGGTCAGTTTTCTCCAAATGGCAGTACTTTGTGTCAGCGTAATGACTTCCGTGTGCAAACTCATCCGATCGTTCTGCAACGAGTTGGCTAAGGAAATGTACGATTGTTATTTATGCAAAGAAAAACAATCTTTTCTCAGTGCAATGCGAAATAGTCCGTGTGCTTTTAAAGTATGCTCAAAGCACGTATATGATGTTAGAATTGTGTAATTGCATGCAGTAATAAAGGTCTGGGCAATGTACTCGTTCAATAAATACCCTCGTATTTTGGCATCTAGGCTACCTTTCACTGGACTTATTATGAATGTAGAAAACCATTATCTTTAAATGTGTTTAAATGTATTATTAATATACCCTGTGTTGTGGAATTCCTGTGACCAAGACGAAATATAGGTGAGTTAAATGACTTGCTCAAGGTAAGTTTTGGTTTAATCTTATGATCATGTGTTATTATTATTAGAACTGCTCATAGTGCAATATTTGTAATATCATAGTTTTCTTTACGTTTTTTTTTTTTTAATCCATGTGTAATGCGGGCGCGGGCGACCTCCCGGATGTGACGTCACGGAGAGGTGGAGTTAGGTGACGTGGGAGGAAAGGTTAAGGTTCTTAAGGGAGGAGACCGGAAGAGGAAGGCAGAACGAGTGGGACTGGACCAGAGTAAGGCCACGTGGGCAAAGCCAAGGGGGGCAGCGGCGGCCAGCGGTGGCCAGCTAAGGGAGCAGCCAGCGGAGCTGCGAGAGAAGACAGCGGTGGGGCGGCTGGAGAGAAGGCGGACGAGGAGCTGCGGGGAACACAGCCGGCGAGGCTGTGTGTGAGGGAGAGGCTACGAGAGCGACGAGAGGAGAGAGAGGCTGAGAGAACGACGAGGGGAGAAACTGCAGGAGAGCAGTATCAGTGTCAGTATAGAGTCTTATAGAAGGACAGCCGTGCGGGTTAAGAGAGAAGAACCGAATAAAGGACACCAAGCCAGACATCGTGGTCGAGTCCTTTATTACATTGGTGTCGGAAGTGCAACGGCATGTCGAAACAAGTGAGAAAGAAAAATGTTCCAGCGCCGGCATCGGCTTCTTCGTCCGAAGACGAAGACTTCCCTCCAAACATGGATCCTGCCAGGGTGGTGGAGGAGAGCCCTGCTGAAACGAGTGCGGGGACGGGAGTGGAAGATGTAGCCACAGTGTCAGGGCCGCCGACACCATCAGACGCTGATCGGCGATGGCTGCAGGTGGCTGAGCAACTGGAGACTCTCAAGGACGCCCTGGGCCAATTGTGTCATCTCGTCACCCCAAGCACGGCGACGGAGAGAGCGGAGAGTGCTCCACAGGCCGCCACGGGTTCTTCACTCCCGGCGCCATGGGCCACGCGGCAGGAGGCCGCCATCTTGCGCGTGCCGCGGCGGGAATCCGCCATCTTGACCACGCCGCGATTCGACGCCATTTTGAATTTGCCTCCGGAGGAACCATCGGCGGAGGGCGGAGTGAAGCGAAGTCGGAGTCGCCATCTCACCACGGTCAAGGAATTCGCCATTGGGGGCGACTGGAGCGCTTTCGCCTGCAGATTTTTAGCGGCGGTCCGTTCTGCGAGATGGACCGATGCTGAGGCCTTGGAAGTGTTGCCGACTCTTCTGGACGACGAATCTGTTCGTTTTTTTCGCTCCATTAAGGCCGAGAAGAAGAGGACATTATATGGAGTTTTCAAGAAATGGCCGACGCCTACGAGCCACCTGACGACGCGCATCGGCGATTCGCTCAACGACAACGAGCGCCCGAGGAGTCGCCTGTGGCGTACAGGGGTGCAGTGCTTGATTTGGCTATGGCCGCGTATCCAGATACAACACCTGACCTGCTCGAGCCTCTCATCTTGGGCAAGATGCTCGAGCTGTCGCGGGATCTTGGGATTCCCATGCCGGTGTGCGGGCATGAGAAGCTCACCTCCCGGGCGGCGGCGAAATGTCTGGATGCACAATTCAACCTACGACGATGGAAACAGGTCACGGCGTGCACAGGGGGGCCCGTCGCGGAGGGTGGCGCTCTGGGTTGGGACCCTACGAAGTCGGTATACGTGCCGGATGAGCGGGGCCCTCAGGAGCTGACGGCCGCCTCGGTGCCATGGTCAGGCCGCGGTGGACCGGCCTCTCGTGCTGCACCGCCGATACGCGGGCGGCGCGATGCAAGGCCTGCGCTTCGGCGCAACGACGCCGATTGCTTCCGCTGCGGACGGAAGGGCCACTACGCGAAGGACTGCTGGGCCCGCATCCCGGGTCCGCCACAACAGGAGGCCTCATTACCGGCCAAGCCGCCCAAGGATCCACCGAAACAGGCAAGTCGGCACGCACCAGACACCCGGCAAGGCTTTACACCTCACCCATCACCTTCGTTGTGCGGTCATAGTGTTGTTGTTAAAGAGGGACCTTCGACGGGGCCTTGTCGCTCTGTGACGCAGTGGCGCAAATTGGCACGGAGGGTTGTTGCGGCCGCTACGGGTTCGTCCACCGTGCCGGGGTCTATACAAGGGGTGGACGTGCGCATTTTGGTCGATTCCGGGGCGTCCGCGACTATTATTTCGGATGTCATTTTTCATCTGTTAGGCATCCCACCCGGGGCCGTGCGTCCGGTTTACGGGTCGTGCGTCGCTGCGAACGGGGGTAGTATGGGCATCGTGGGCCAGGTGGACGCTAAAATATCTATTGGGGATGTGTCGGCCTCGGGCGTTGTGTTGATTTCAAGATCCTTGGCAGTTCCCTGTTTATTGGGCACTGATTTTCTGGCTAAGATGCCTATTTTGATCAAAATTAATGAGAATTGTATTGAACTGCCGGGTGGCCGTCAAATTTCGTTTCTGCCGTCGCCCTGGGGGCGACCTGCTTCGGCCGTACAAGTGCAGGCGCTATCCGTGGCATCTGTTGATATTCCACCTGGTTCACAGATGCTTATTCCCCTGCGGTATCGGAAGCCCCTGCCTGGTCGGCTGGGAGCGGTTGGGATCTTGTTGTCACCTTCAGCCTCGATAACGGCCGGATCGGCGCTGGTCGGAGCGCAGACCATCGTCCGGCCAGATCAATTACCGTTTTTGCAGGTGCTCAATGCGGGTACGGAAAATGTCTGTGTCCCAGCCGGCACGGTTGTGGCACATGCCACCACGGCATTTACGGCTCACGATTGTTCGCATAGCCAGGGAGTGGTTGCTGGTGTTTCCGAGCCTGTGGCTTCGGATGACCGCTGGATTGCTAGCTTATGTGACGGAAATTCTTCCCTGTCTGTGGATCAACGGGGTGCGCTTCATAAATTGTTATTGACGTATTCCGATGTGTTCAGCTCCAATGATTTGGATTTGGGACGCACCTCATTGCTTCACCATCACATTGCTACAGGCGACGCTGCCCCTATTCGGTTGAATTCGCACCGAATGAGTCCGGCCGAGCGAGAACACGTTCGGGGGGCAGTGGAGGATATGTTGGCTGCGGATATTATATCGCCGTCGAACAGCCCATGGGGCGCGCCTGTGGTTTTGGTTAAGAAAAAGGATGGCAAATTGCGATTCTGTGTTGACTTTCGAAAATTGAATAAGATATCGGTGGCAGATGCGTATCCCCTGCCGCGTATGGACGACTCCCTCGACGCATTGTCGGGGGCTAAGTATTTCTCTACACTGGACCTCTCTTCGGGATTTTGGCAGCTTCCCCTTGACGAGCCCTCACGGGAGAAGACCGCATTCCGTACGCCGCAGGGGTTGTTTCAATTTAACTGCCTTCCGATGGGGCTGAATGCGGCCCCTGCCACATTTCAAAGGCTCATGGAACTCGTTTTGACGGGGTTGCAGTGGGAGACATGTCTCATATATTTGGACGATATCATCGTCTTCAGCCGCACATTTGATGAACATTTAAGGCGGCTGGAGACGGTGTTCGCGAGGATGCGCTCCGCGAACTTGAAATTTAAACCAAAGAAATGTCACCTACTGCAACGGTCCGTCCGTTATTTGGGGCACATCGTGAGTGCTGAGGGGGTGTCTACGGACCCGGAAAAAACGGCGTGCGTCCGAGATTGGCCGACTCCGGTCACCGTGGGGGATGTACGTCGCTTTCTGGGATTTGCCTCGTATTATCGAAGATTTGTACCGAATTTTGCGACCATCGCGAGGCCCTTGCACCTCCTTACGGGTAAGGGACGTAAGTTTGCGTGGGGACCGCCGGAAGAGGCGGCCTTTCAGAGTCTGCGTAATCTGTTGGCTACCGCCCCAACATTGGATTATCCGGATTTCAATCAACCGTTCATTCTTGATACGGATGCGAGCGACACAGGTATTGGCGCGGTGTTGTCTCAGTCTAAAGGGGGCGTAGAGCGCGTCGTTGCGTATGGTAGCCGGGTCCTGTCGCCCGCGGAAACACGCTACTGTGTCACTCGCAGGGAACTCTTAGCCGTTGTTTTTTTCCTACGTCAGTTTCGACCGTACCTGTACGGCCGTTCCTTTATCGTACGTACGGATCATGCGGCCTTGCAATATGCCCTTAAAATGGATCAACCTTCCGGCCAGCTGTCGCGTTGGTTGGACACGCTGCAAGAATTTTCATTTCAAATTCACCATCGTAAAGGGGTGCGCCATGCGAACGCAGACGCACTTTCTAGGTTGCCGCAGCGCTCCCCTTGCAAATGTGCGTCGGGGACGCAGAGATGTGCGCCCAGCCTACCCCCCCCTCAGCCGGTGGTATTGGCTGTGGAGAAGTCGGATGCTACTGTGGAACCGGGGCCGACTGATGGGGTTTTGAATCTGCCACGGTCTGTTTGGATAAGGGAGCAAATGATGGATGAGTCGTTAGTGTCCTTGCGGAAGCGATCCAAAGTGGAGGTTGGGGGTCCGGTTACGGAGGGTGCGCCGGAAACCGCGGTCCGAGATGGTCTGCTTATGTGGAGGGAAAGTCTCCAGGAACACTGGCGTCTAGTGGTGCCTGCGTCCCTCCGATACGAGTTGATTAGAACTCTCCATTGTGACACGCTATTACATCTGGGTGTGCAGAAGACCTTGTTGACGTTGCAACGTCATTATTTTTGGCACGGCATGTCGACGGATGTCGTGGGGCACGTCCGCGCGTGCCCTGACTGTGCCCGGCGTAAGCCTCCTAAACATCCTTATGTGCCACCCTTACAGTCAATTCGGGTGTCTCGGGTCAATGAATTGGTGGCACTGGACATTTTGGGACCTTTCCCACCTTCGGCGAGGGGTAATAAATATTTGCTGGTCGGGGTTGAGTACCTCTCCCGTTGGCCGATGGCCTGGCCGTTGCCCGATCAATCGGCCGCGGCCATTACCGACGCCTTTTTGTTCGGATATGTTATGGACAAGGGTGCGCCGGAGAGACTCCTTACGGATCAGGGCCGAAATTTTTCTTCGAAATTATTGGCGGAAGTATGCGCGGGCCTAGGGACTAAGAAGGTCCGGACATCCCCATACCATCCGCAAACGGATGGTATGGTTGAGCGGCTAAACCGGACATTGTCTGCCATGCTGTGCCACACGGTGAGTGAGCAACAATCGGATTGGGACCTGCACATCCCGGGGGTGCTTTCGGCGTACAGGATGACTCCTCATGCGGCTACGGGTTATTCGCCATTTTACCTTATGTATGGTCGGGAAAACGTGCCGCCAATGGATGTGCAGATGGGAACCGGTGTGAGGGGACCTTGTAAACCGCTTCCTGACTACATTCGGGACACTGTTCGCCGGGTCTCGGAGGCGCGGGAGAGTGCCCGTGTGGCTACGGCCAAAGCTCAGGCCCGAAATGAGAGGTACGCACGGCGTTCCAAAGGGGAGTGCCCCTGGAAGGTTGGGGACCTGGCCTGGCTCCATTGCCCGCAGGTGCGGCCGGGTACCTCTCCCAAATTTCACAAACCTTGGCGAGGGCCTGTCCGCCTCATTGAGGTTCCTAATCCTCAGTCGGCGCGTGTTCAAATTGGTTCTCGCCGCTGGTTTGTTCACACGTCGCGCTTGAAACCGTATGTTGCTCCCCTACATGATGCATCATCTCCCAATGTTGCCTTGCCGGGGTCTGTTGCTGCCGACTCTCCCCCGCCTGCGTCCATTGATCTTGCTAGAGCGCCTGTCGTACCTGTTCCAGGCAGGCCGGCCTTGACACCGGAGGGGACGAGGCGCTCTGCTCGGAGGGTGCCTGCCAGATCTGCGGGTCCTTCGAGCCCTGCAGCCCTTCCGACCCCGCTGCAGACGCATCCGCGGGACAAGCCCAAGACTGATCCTTCAAGGACACGGGACGTTGGTGGACTTCCAACAGCGACAGGGGGATTTCACCCTGTCGCTCCTCAAACTCAATCACGTTCCCGTTCCGCGGATGGGCCGCCGACCGTCCGGGACGGGCCGGCGACCCGCACACGCTCTAAATCCCTTGTGTTTCGTTGATTGTTATGTTGTATTGTTCTTACTGTGTATTTATTGCCTGCTTCTGCTACGTTATTGATTGTTGAGTTGTGTTGATTGTTCTTACTGTTATATTGCATGCTTGGTGTCCTTTGGTGTGTTACGCTCGGGTTCGCCCGCATTACTGTTGGTGTTGTTCAGCCGAGGTCGGCTGGGTTTTTCTCCACGGGGGAGGGTGGTGTAATGCGGGCGCGGGCGACCTCCCGGATGTGACGTCACGGAGAGGTGGAGTTAGGTGACGTGGGAGGAAAGGTTAAGGTTCTTAAGGGAGGAGACCGGAAGAGGAAGGCAGAACGAGTGGGACTGGACCAGAGTAAGGCCACGTGGGCAAAGCCAAGGGGGGCAGCGGCGGCCAGCGGTGGCCAGCTAAGGGAGCAGCCAGCGGAGCTGCGAGAGAAGACAGCGGTGGGGCGGCTGGAGAGAAGGCGGACGAGGAGCTGCGGGGAACACAGCCGGCGAGGCTGTGTGTGAGGGAGAGGCTACGAGAGCGACGAGAGGAGAGAGAGGCTGAGAGAACGACGAGGGGAGAAACTGCAGGAGAGCAGTATCAGTGTCAGTATAGAGTCTTATAGAAGGACAGCCGTGCGGGTTAAGAGAGAAGAACCGAATAAAGGACACCAAGCCAGACATCGTGGTCGAGTCCTTTATTACACATGTATTGTTGCTAGTTGGTGTATTGAACGTTGAGAAATAATAAGGTGATTACTTTTATAACTTTCCTACATAAAGCACAGAAAATACCTATTTAACATGTAGACCGTATAAAAATTAACAATGCTAAAAATAACGACATGGGCTGCCCGTCACGTGTCATTACACACCTTAGCTTTTTGCCGCCTTCCACAATTTTTGCTTTGTTTAAAGTGCCCTGTTTGATGGTTTTCTGAAATCACAAAGCATGCAGGCAATACAGCATTACGGTTGTGACGTTAAAAATGAGTGTTTACGATTCGATACACTTGTGGTGCCATACTTCAGCATCAATTGTATATGCCAAATAATTATATGTGTCAATTATATGTGCTAATGAAAATGTCATCGCTTATCAAAACAGCAAAACTATGAAATTGCATACTGACATTTGTGACGGGTGTCAGGTAATCTGATACGTTGAAGTTCCCAGATCGAGATCTTCTGTGTCCCTGAAAATCGAGAAAATGTTTTCTAAAATCCCGTGTTCAACATCAGCATGAACAGCGATACATTTACCCGACGACCTGAGTTCGTTCCCTGGCCGTGACTGACCTCGATGGTTCAGAGTGATATTTCAACCAGTCCTGGGTCCTCCCCTTCGCGGAACCTTGTCGACTAGTGTGGTGAAGAATGTTCAAACAACCCCCAGAACTGATATGGCATTGGATTCTCTTCATCCAGAAGTTGAGCGACAAAGAGCTATAACGTGTTACATTTCTTCTGAATTGTTTTAATAGAGCTGAAGAAGAAAATAATAATAATGTACACTTCGAAATAGTCTTTTAACCACAGATCACAAGGTGCTGTACAAAAAAATACACAAAAGCATGCAGGCTCACGCCAATAGAATTGAACCACCAAAACAAAGGTTTCAAGAAATATTAAAAGGCTCTCAAAAATAAACCGGTCTTAAGGAGCCATTTGAATACAACGAGGAAGTCAGCAGAGTGAACGTCCAGTGAAAATGAATTCCACAGCCTGGTGGCCACACGAGAGAAGGCCCGTCACCCATTGTACATAGACGTGACCTCGGCACGCACAAAATCAGTGGCATATTAGACTAAACTCATACGAGTAAATGGTCAGTAATTTCATTCAACTGGGTGTTGCTGTGAGAGTCACTTGAATCATAATTTGAAGGTCATTAGTATTATTCCTGGCTCAGTGTTGACTCTACCACCCATCTGGAGACATGAACACAAGTACCACCAACACCAGTTGTGATAGGAGGTAGACACCACATCATTTGACACCACTGGCTCAGGACTGCCAAGGGAGATGAGCCCTACCCCATCCTCATTCCCTCCCATCATCACTTGTCCGAAATCCTTACAACAATGCTCAATTAAAAAAATACCTTTGAACTCTCTTATATCTTCATAAGTGCTCTTTGTCGCTGGCCACTGGGAATTTTGGGCCTGTGTTCAGCGACCGTGATTTTGATTTTAAATATATACAATTAATCATGGGTAGATACGTAAACTTTTCACTTAGCAATATGTATGTACGTTGAACTTCTTTCGCACAGTACGTAGCCAACCGTGCAAATCGGAGGTGCGGAGGCGAATGGCGACACTTTTCATGCGACCAATGAGATCGCTGCACCTTGTCTTTGTGCTCTGCCCCGAGTGGCTTGATGAGGCTGTCGCGGTTGGCCGACGAGAAAGATTTGCTCCGCTCGACCGTGGGAAGCTCGTGGCCCAAGGTGATCGGCGGGGCCAGGGTGTGGCGGGCGAAGTCTCGCAGACACTCGTACGTCGCCTCATCCGACTCCGACGCAAAGCCACCCTCACCACAACAATACACAAAAAAAATAATAGACAAGGCGTTATTTTAAACTTTGGAAAAAATATCCGCGTGGCAGAAAACATCACGAAACTGCTAAGAGCGTGCAGGATTTCGGTGTGATTTGACAAAATGGCTTGCTTGGACTTTGTACCAAAACTTTAGAAATATTCAGATAATACATAGATTTGTTTTAGGAAGATCGCAATTACCTGTTGACCTTATTAAGGAGCGATGTCATCAAACACAAATGAAATTAGACATATATTGCAATACATTAAGATAATTAACTCAATTAAAATAATTTTAATCGTATGTCCTTGTGTCAACGTTTTTATGCTTTGTTTGTGTCTACTATATCTATAGTATTGCTATATTCTGAAGGTACAATTATAAAAGGTTATGAAGCATATTTTAGACATACTGTATGTCTATGCTAATCATACGAATATAACTACTATTTACCTTTGGCAAATCCCAGCTTGATTGGTTTGTTATTTCATTGTAGAAGTACACAGATCCTGTTGCGGTATCCACAAATCGGGTCCACTGAAATACAATAAAGAGAGAAAGAGATGTAAAATGTCGCTTTTGTGCGCATTGTATATACTGCACAAGCAAGGTATTTAAAACGTTGTAGCTGTCCACTTTCTATACACTTAAAGGTCAATGTTGGGTGGGGCAAATGACCTTGTTTCACTGATGATGGGCATTGGACATATTAATTGGCTAGCATGGCGCTTAAGAAGAAAATTACAACTTTTGGGTGACCCTGCCCTGCAAGCAAAATCCATCAACCTCTGGACCTTTATTTTTGCCGGGCCAATTAATTTTATTTTACTCAGTGTAAGTATAGGTTTAATTATATCTGTGAGAAACTTCGTTTTCTAGTCCACCGATAAAAAAAATAGAATGTACATTGATCGCTCAGTAATAATCATCTCTTGTTACTGTATACAATGCCCTGCTTAGCTGGCACCGTGGTTTTGAGGGCTTGTCGCTCATTTGGAAAGTTATGAGTTCAAATCTTGTTTGTTTGGCAAAACAGCTTTACTTCCTTACCAGGGTTGATGAAAAAAAACCGAGCACCACTTAGTTTCAAGTCATCAGTGGTTATGCTATGGAGTGATTGGCCATCAAATAGCCCAGTGTTCTTCATTGCAAGGCCCGCGGGCCACTGGCGGTCCCTGGTGGCCTGTAGTGTGGCCCCTGACGTGCGGCCCCCGACAATGCACAACACGTGACAACACCGCCCATCATCGTGCTGCTGTCAAACCCAGTGGTTTCAATTGTGGCGGCCCTCACGCTGATGATGTCTTATCGGCGAAAGTGTCCCCCCCCCCCCCCCCTCTGAGAATTGGTGAAGAACACTGCTGTAGTGGGTGGGTGCTCCGCTTCTCCCTTAAGCTGGGAGGACGCTGTCTTTCCGACAGCTCAATTTCTTCACCTGAGGACGGCTGATTGTGTTGTTGCCGAAACGTCGTGATAATTTTATTTTATTATCTTTTATTTTTATTATTTTTATTATTTTATTATTTCCCTTCTACGTGCCTTTACCGAAAGAACCAAGAATATGAATCCCTGCAGTCACGAAAGCTTTAAATGGAAACTGGGAGACACTGTTACGCTCGACTTCGACTCTCCTGTGAAGGTGGCACGATGCTGCTGATGTGGCACCTGCTCCTGTGTCTCCTCGTTGATGTAGAGGACGTTTCCATCTGTCCCCATGATTTCTTGCCAGCCATGTGGTACTGCCGCGTCACTGTAGGTGATTTCTGAGTACAACTGCTCATCTTTGCATTCCACCGTCAGCTGTAAGTCACAAAAACAGAAGCAATGAGCTCTGCATTCAGAGCTGCGTTAGTAATAGCAATCCAAAGCAGTGCACTGGAGCCTGCTGAAAACACCAAGAGTAGAGTGCATCAGATGGGTGACATAAAATAAAATCTGTTCTCTATGCTTAGTTTAATTGGGTTTATTTACGTGCGCTTTTCTTAGCTGTCCCTCTTCGAACATGTCCTGCATATACTATCTTCCTACTCCCATATTTTTCGCTATTCCTGCATGTACCCATTCTCTTTAAGCACCACCAACCTCACGTGGCTTTTATAGAATACTGAAAGTACCCGTACAGCCTGTGCATATGAATACATTTCAAAGGATGCTTAAATCTATGAACACGGTGGCTACGATTCACTGAATTGTGCATGAATTCATAAAATGCATTATTTAAATGTAAACGGTCTCACTTTAGTGTCTGATGTTAGAAAAAAAGTGCGGCCTAATCCAAAAGGCCTTTATGAATCACAATATTGGCTCTGAAAAAAAACTACCTGTGAAGTTAATGTACAAGCGATGAATTGTCTTGAAACAAAAAATTACTCGCGCTAATAAAAGCACCAAAAATAAATCTAAGACAAATTTCGGCTTCCGCAGATTTCCAATAAGAGCGGCTTATCATAACTGTGCAGATGTGTTTCTTCCTTTCACACTTCCCCTGCACGGACTACGGCTGCCGCCACCCTCCACGAAATCCAACCAGTGCCAAGTTAATTGAGACGGCCAGATAGCCGAACCATGTTCCATTTCCTGGACGCAATGTATTAGCAGTTGGTGATGGTCTACAAGTGCAGAGAGTGGAACCCCGTGTGAACAATAGAGTTGCAGCATATTTCTAGTGGGGTTTTCATTGCTCTTTTCAAAAACGTACAATCTCGTGTGTGAGACACATCCATGCAGCTGCCAGAGATATGAATCAAATATGAGGCTTAACGCAGAATTGCAATCACTTTGCAAATTGCAGACTGATCATAGCCCCATTTATACAGAGGCATGTCAGTGTGTCTTTGTCTGCAGTGTACTGGTAATGAACCCGGTGACCTTAGCTATGAACCCGGCGACCTGAATTCACATCAGTGACAATAATCAGATTCTGTCCTGAACCTCCTTCTTGGATGACTCAGCCTTTAAATGAGCACCTGGTGCGGTGTGTAAACATCAGCACTGGGGAGACAAAGGTGGCTAGGCAGGGGGCCGGCCACCCCACCCCCCTCGTGTGCCGTGCCAGCCATCATGGGCGCTGATCACTAACACTTCCCCTGCACAGAGGAAAAAGAAGCTAATAGCTCAGTGGGCTTTAGCTAGTAAGACCAAAACAAATGTAGTTGTATTTGTTTGTTTTAAAATGATAACGTCAAGTCTAGAATGATACCTTTCCTATATTTTGCACTCCTACCATGTTTTCGTATTGTTGTTGTAACATTCTGACCCGCCCTGACTGAAAAAAAATCAGTGAAAAAGAGCTTTATAGCTCATCGGATTCATCCAGAATAAATAAATATTCTGATCCTGCTAAGGGCTATACGTGGGAGGTGGGGTGGCGGGATGCGGCCGGCCGGGCGGGCGGTAGGGGGCAGAGGTCGCAAACGGGTTTTGATTCCTTACCTGTACCCGTATCCGGCCGCACCAGGGTCGCAAATAGGTACCCGTACCCGTACTCAGCCGGGTACGGGTAGGGTACGGGTACCCGTTCCATACCCGTACCCGTACCCGACCCGAAATGAGTGACAAACGGTTACTCACCAGTGACTCACGGCGTACCCGAACCCGTACCCGGCCGCACCAGGGTCGCAAATGGCTACCCATACCCGGCTGGGTACAGGTAGCCGGGTATCGGGTAGGGTACGGGTATCGGGTACCCGGTTGCGACCTCTGGTAGGGGGGTTGTGGATCTTCGTCTTTGTGTTTTTTTGCGCCGAACACTTTCGGCGAGGCCTCACCAGGTCGCCCACAGACGTGCTCGCGGCCCTGCGCGGTGGCTTCCAGCTGGTCTCGCCGCTCGCGCGGTTGAAGAAGAAGACGCGCGCCGCGCCGTCGTCCCAGTGCTCCTCCCAGCCGTCGACGGCACGGAGGGCCTCCTCGCCCGCCGGAGGTCGGCCCGGGGCCTCTCGCAGATCCTCTCCCCGGCTGCCGCCCAGGTTGGCGTAGAGGGGCGATTCGGCCGGTCCGTCGCCGTCGTCGTTCAGGGACACGTGCGGCGATTTGGACGTCGGCGCGCTGCCCACCGATTGGTCGTCGCCGCCGTCGTCGTCGTCATTGTCGAGAAAATCCGCCCGTTCCACGAGGTCCTTTGTGGAACCCTCGCCCTTCAGGATAAAAACAACAACAACAACAAAGATGTGCACCGCCCATTACGTTTTCCGGAACAACAAATTTTTTTTAGATAACTTATTGGCTGTTAATTGTGATGCAGAACAAAAACATATTGTGTGGGTTGTAACCAAATAAGTTTGCAAATGAAACCGTGACATTTTGTGAGCATTTCAAATGAACATATTCATGGGTTTGTGAAACGGACATGGTAGGAATATTTATACAACATATATACACATGGCAAGAAATGCTTTATTATTCAGGTGTCAGGGAAGCAAAGCCATGAGTTTGTGTAATATGTTGATTCAGTACCCTGTTGGTTATATAAGGAGCCAATCACATGTATAATAAAAATGCAAGACTACATAACCAGGAAAGTCTCAATGAGTCTCGAGACTCATTATTGGGAGGGATCTGAATGTAGATGTTTGGCATATATTATGAATGAGTATTTGGAATGTGTAAGGAAACCAGAGAATCTGGAAAAATGCCACATATTCGAGGGGGTAATGCTCAAAACTGTCATCTTCTGGCCATCTCAGAGGCCAGTTATGGTTGTTGAATACTTTTATTTTACAAGGCATATTACAGTTAAGCAGTGAGTAGAGTAACACAATTGTTATTCTTACATTTATTTGCTCTAATTATCTGACACTTAAAACGGTTACTACTACTTCGCAAACATATTTTTGTTACAAGGTATGTACGTGAAAACATTTGATATCATGTTTAATGATTAGTATTTTAAAAAACGATACTCTATAAATATCGGACTTCAAAAAAACCATAGTATTATGTTAGTGTTTTTTTTTATTCTATCACTGATCCTCATATAAGACGTAGTATTTATATAGGCATCTATATTATCCTGTTGGCCGTGCCCTATTCCAACCCTAGCATACTTCCGTGCTTATTCACTCACCAGCACGCTCCCTCGCACATCACGTTCATCCATCCACACACTTCCCAATCTGTGCACTGACACGCGCACTCACCCATTCAAACATTCACTAGCTGCGAACAGTTATGCAGATCCACTCACCAGCCGGCTCACGCTAATCTTTTTTTTTCAAACACTCAAACCTGCAAACATGCCCATGTGCCCCATATACACATTCACTACGCGTGTGCCCATCTGTACATGCATGTGCCCATCACGTGCCCATCTGCACATTGACTATAATCTTTCGGGGTGTTTTTTTCCACTTGCTAACGTGTGGATTTATCCATCTGCAACCACGGAGAAAACACTTCCTCTACCATCCATATGGCACTTTACACACTTCCTTGTCCCCTCTCGCTCGTAAAGGTTTACACTTTTCTGCCCACTCGCTATAAAATCCACTCACAATTCCACTCGCTTGTCCAAGTTGCTCCACGCTTTCTGGCTTGCCAAACCCACACATTAAATCCATGCCGCTGTGGTTCCTTGTCATGAAATATGAACACGATATTCACCCTCCTTTGTGTTTATCCTCATTTTCCTTCACGTGTCCTTAATTCCCATCTCTACATTGTGAGGCTGAACTTTCAACGGCACACTTTTCACCAAATTCCATTACCTTGGAGGCACGCTCCGCTTAAGAAGAAGAGCACACAGTTCATTTCCAGCAAACGTGTATGACCGCATACCAATAATGATAAAGGCTTTCGGCCAACCTGTTGAATAACTTGTTTTTCTTTCCTTTTTAAGACACGCTATTTAAATTCCAGCCGTACATTTGGGACTGTTATGCATGGAGCGTTGAAACGTTTTGAGATGGGGATATTAAAGTACACATTCAAGTCAAGTGAATGCGCTCGAATGATAAAATGGGCGTCACTCATTTCCATTGCCAGATCAGAGCCGTGGCTGGAAATTCTACTCTCCATTGCTGGAGTCTCTCCACAGGGTGAGCGCTATTTATTTCCAAAAAAATTGCACTGATGGCGAGTCACATGCTCTCGCTGCTGCACCACCTGGCCAGAATAAAATATACATTCACTCGGTGGTTCTCAACCCATGGGGCATTCTTTTTGGAGGGCAGGGGGGGGGCATGTCGTGGCGACATGGATACCGTGCAGGGACAAAATTTAGAATTTTGCGCGAGGAACGTCAGCGCCATGTTCCAGCGACAAACACACGAACGCGCAAGATAAAACAAGCGCCTTAATTACACCGCGTTGACGAGAGGCTTGGACATCTGACCTCTCAGCACTGTGGCCGCTGTTACAAAGGAGGCAACGTTTCACGTGTCTCAATGGGTTCATTGCATGTCCTGGTTCAATAATTTAATAGCATTGACGAAATAAAATTGAGGCTGGACGAGTCAATGCAGTGATTGTAAAATTAAATTCGTAAACAGATCATGTTCTGTATATAACAATAGGTTTTACCCTTTATGGCAATAAAACCAGGTGTTAAGATATTACAACACCAAACAGAATCTTTATTCAAGGAATCCTGTCTGCATTAACCACACACAGTACCTGTGGTGAACATGCAAACAAAATTGTATTTGTGATGTTCGCCTTTTGGTGTCCTCTGGTCTAACACTCATTAAGACTAGGCTCAAAAGAAAGCTGTCTCTGGTGTGGGCCAATCAGTTTCATAAGCAATCCATCATATACTACCAGAGCATGTTTTTTTTTTTGTAAAAAGTATTGTCATTACTTTACTTCATTAAATGTAATTTTATACATTTAATTTTACGTTGTTATACTTTGAACCTTTAACACTGGCATCCGTGGCGATGTGGGGAAGACAGGCAACAGAGAGAACATGCCCTATGTATGTTGAGTTTCTTTCGCACCGCACGACCATCATGGAGATGAAGCTATAAGACTTCGTGCAGGAGATGGATCGTAGAATCGTAAGACTCTGAGGGGTAGCGATGGCGTGGGGAAGCATTCATCCAGCAGTCGATAGACCATGGCTGTTATGATGATGTGCAAAGGTTTCAAAGTGCCATACCTCTGATAGGTTGGTGTGCCTTTTTAAAATGTATTTCATTACCTCATTAAATATATTTATGTTGATGCTCTACAAAAATATTTTCTCTCTTTAGCACGTGTGGTTATGGGACCTGTTTCCACAATACAGTGGTAGATTCGTCTTCAAATGTACTTTTAAAAACTATTTTAAAAAATCATTTTACCAGGTAAGGCCTACTAACCTATGCAGCTCTTTTTCAGAAGCGACCAGACTAAAAATGATAGCTCAACGAAGTGGCTTACAAAGCGAAAATGTACAGCAGCCAAATACTCTTGCACGCACGTTTCTAAACGTGGAGGGAAAAACCGGAGGACCCGGAGAAAAATTCACACGACCACGGGGAGAACATGCAGACTTCAAGTATACAGGCGTCAGGGTCGGGATCGAACCCACGACCTCCTGCATACCAGGCGAGGTAGTTAAGATCTGGCCACCAGGAAAGCCGTCATACTCATTGATGCCACACAACACATTTCACACAATGAAAGCCATATCAGAGCGACCGTCACGCCCGTACATCTCCTACGTGCTATACTCTCTCCCCTTTCATTCCTGAACACTCCCTGTTATAGGACAGAGCATCGCTTCACAGCTGTGTTGTGAAACATTGTCCCGTGTTGTGAAAATCAATATTTATACTGTATCACATTTGGTTGTATAAATTGCAGCCACTTTGTGTCTTTAAAAGCAGCAGGACAATAGAATCTCTGCAAGAGCAGTCGGTCACAAATGGTAATATTGCCACAGCTGTTGGGAGTCTTGATCTCGAGCAGTGTTAGTTTTTATGAAAAGGTTTCCTCTACAATTACAACATGTAATTGAGCTACTACTGTATGTGCGTGTGTGTTTTAAATAACTAGAAAAGTGGTTGCACTTTGCTATTTGCGCATTTTTTTTATCCCAGTTGTCCTGTATTTAATTTCTGACCATGCACACCATTAGTTAGTGGTATCTGAAACTGCCCTGGGCTTCCCTTAGATTGACTCAGCCTGACATGAATATCTGATGTGGGATGTCAAAATCTGCACAGATGGACAAGGGTGGCTTAGTAACATGCGGACCACACTCACCTAACACGCTTTTTGCACGCCTTAATAGGGGCTCACAAACAGCACTGTACTTCTCAAATTCTAACGCACCCACGGAGACATCCTTCCTGCGTAAAGGGAACCTGATAAGACCATCATGTCCCTGCCAAACAACCCTGATACAATGCTACCCGCTTTTGTTGGATGTCATATTCGTTCACGCTGGTGGGGCTGTCCATTCATTCATCCCAGAAACAAATGTCCACCACCTGCAGTGGCGATTCCCACTGCTCTGCAGGTACAGAAGAGGGCCTTCGTGGCAGGGACGTGCCTCTGCAATCAGCAACATTGATTCACACTCATGCGGCGAGTGCAGCAGTTCACTTCGGGTAAGGGAAATGACATTCATTGCTTTATATATATTCAACAACCTGGCATTGCTCTTGAATAGAACACACAGTGCACAACAGAGCTCGCCTCAAGTGAACTCTCGGATTGATATATAATTTTCTAGTTTTCTTAAACAAATTGGAGAATAATTTATCCCTAGACATTAAAAAGTATTTATTTTAAATGGCAAAGATTTTCCTAGGTCTCAGCAGTCAGATCTCGCCCAATGGGTTTCACGACTGCGTTAGGTACATGCAAACAGTGGAATCAAATGTTTATGTTAACTACCTCGCCTGGTATACAGGAGGTCGTGAGTTTGATCCCTACCCTGATGCCCGTATATTTGGAGATTGCATGTACTTCCCGTGGTCGCGTGGATTTTTATCAGGGTCCTGAGATGTTTTTCCCCACAACATTGAGAAACATGCGTTCATAGTATTTGTCTGCTAAACTTTCTTACATGATAAGCCACTTGAGTGGGCTATCATTTGTGATAACCAGGTCGCTTCTGAAAAATATCTCTGTAGCTCAGTGGAACTTACCTGGTAACATAAACATACTAAATAGTATCTTCTTGGTTCTTTCGGTAAAGTCACGTAGAAGGGAAGTAATAAAATAATACAAATAAAACATAATAAAATAATTCTCACGACGTTACGACCACAACGCAAGCAGCCGTCCTCAGGTGAAGAATGAAACACCACCAAGCTTGGAGCGTATATTTAAGCTTGGTGGTGTTTCATTCTTCACCTGAGGACAGCTGCTTGCATTGTGGCCGAAACGTCGTGAGAATTATTTAATTATGTTTTATTTTTATTATTTTATTACTTCCCTTCTACGTGACTTTACCGAAAGAACCAAGAAGATGAATCCCTGCAGTCACGAAAGCTTTAAATCGATACTAAATAGTAAATAAGCCCAACGTCTGCATGCAACAGAACTGGAATGGGATTCCTGAAATTTGCCTAAACAATCAGCCAGTTGTCAGCTGCCAATAAAATACTTAATCAAGGGGAATGCCACGGGCAGTGGGGATTGTGGAAGAAGACTAGTCAGAAACAAAAGGGCCTGCAAAGAGCGGCATTCCACGGCTAATTCCCCACATTTGTAGCCTCACAAGGGCCCCTGCATTGGACGCAGGTGTACGAGTTGATAATGGAGTATTGCATACTTTGTGGGGGGTTACGTGGCGGTGACCGTCTTCCCGCGGGTACACCCCTGGCATTGAACTGAAAAAATGTAATGGCTTTTAAAATCCAGACTGCATGTTGCATTTCACTTAACATTCCAGGCAAAGTTGCCCTGCTTATTTAATTTACATTTTCATGTATGTTTTTCTTTTTTCTTTCACGTGTTTTTTAACAGGATTGCCAAACTTTCAGAAATGCACTCAACACAGTTACATATCACAAATACTCCCACTTCCATTGAATGTACTTTCCATGATTTGAGCTAAATGGGTCTGATGTCTTAAAATGAATACACTGTTCACATCATACAATTGTCACGTCATTATTTGTTGTACATGATCACAATTGCTATGACGTATATGATGCCTGTATTCCCATTTACTGTGCAAAGCAGTGGCAAATTGATGTTGGACTCTTGTATGTCAGATCATAAGTAGTTCACACTTTCTCTAGTTTCTGCACGCTCAAATGCACATGAACATTAAGCTTGCGGTTTGTGACACCACCTCTGCCAGTGGCAATCAAGTAATTAATTGCGTTACATTACCCAATGACAGGCCTGCTTTAAATGGATTTTGGAACTTGACACAGTATTTAAATTACTCAAGTCCACTGTTCTAAGAATGCGACCCACAGACGATTTATGACCTGGTGTATGCATTAAATGTGAGTCACGGTTGATAAATAATAAGTGCCCAATTTATGCGATGTTGTACTTGATCCCGCGCAATGCTCAGTTGTCAACGTCTAGACTTACAGCACCGATTGAAGAGGAAACATCACGTGAATGCCTCCTTTTAATAGCGTATATACCGTTTGTGATATATCATCGTAACCAGTCATGATTTTTCCCCTGCTGGGTGAAGACCTCCACAAGACGGTCTTGGGATGCAACGATCTAAACTAGCACCTTCACACGAGCCAATTTAACCACTCTACCTTCGTGGTGTACGTAATGTACGTTACGTTGAACTTCCTTTGCACCGTACGTTGTCAGACGTGCTCATCGGAGGCGCGGGGATGTCTTTCTCAGATGCGTTTCCTTCATTGGCTGCTGCCACTCCTTTTGTTAGCCCAGACCGTCGGTTCTTAACCTGGGGTGCAGGAATCTCTGGGAGTGCAAGATGCCATTTGTGGGGGTGCAAGAGATGCACCCCCGTAACTGCTTTGTTTTTTTTATCAAACCTAAGCATTTATTATCATTGTAAATGTTTTAACGATGAGAACCAAGGGGGTGCAAGGCAGCAGTAAAGGTTAAGACCATTGGTTATCATCCCATAGAGTGAAGTATTCTGCCCAAGCTTGCAAAACAATGCATGTGATGTGTCCAAATAACGTATGTTCTAGAATAATTGTACATTCTCCTTCCAGTCTCTCTGACATTTCCCCCTTTCTTTTGAAATATGCCAAAAAAGCCCCATGAATTAGTTCAAGCTTGGAATGACACCGATATGTAATATATACTGTATAACTGTTCTGTACATTTAGTTCGTCAGTCAATGTAAAATAGACATAATTGATCAACTTCACCTTTGAAGCTGTTTATAGTTATGTAGTGTATTTACGATACACTATTTGGTGATATCTGTAGTATAGTGTATACCGTATACCATATCCTAATTATTCACATGCATGAGCTATGAACGGCGATGGTACACTTGTTTTTCAAATTAATTTCCACAAACCAAGAAATACTATTTTCTTTTTTAGAAAAAATGTAATTACACATATATTTATAACCTGGTTTATTTGTATTCAACAAGAGCAACACATTTTGAATTATAGTGAAATGCATACATCTGCATCAAACACATCCCACACATATATATTCATATACATGTGTGGATGTGTTTGGCATGTCATGAAACGTAGACAAAATGCAGTAATTCTGCCCTCAGCAGTCTGCCTGTGCCACGCAGTGTCATCTGGCCCACTGTGTGTATGCATAACTGTTTACGATAATATACAACATATATCGTCAATATTTCCCCTTGACCTCCGCGTTTATTTGTTTATATAGAGCGCGCATAGTTTGCCACTGAGGGCATGCACAAAAGCCTACCCCCATTGACCCTCGAATGTCATCATGTTTTTGGACTTTTCATTTTCAATGTTTGCTCTTCCTCTTTGTACTCTGCAGCAGGAGACTCACCAACACTTCCTCCATGCACGTTGTCCCCACTCATCTGCACGCGTTTATCCGCTCAAGTTGTTACCACTACGAATATTAACTTTTTTATTTCTCTCGAGTGTTTGATTAATTCATGATTATATACAATGCCTATAAGCTACGGCTGTGTGTGCACTTTTTACTAAGGTCATTTATGTCCATAATTACTGGAATTAAATAGAGCCACCGGTCATAGGATATGCACGTTTCTCCTGATGCTATGCATTTTTTCTTGTACAACTGTGCACATGTTTGTACCGCAGCCCTCTCCACAATGTTACAATATCTCACAATGCAAAGGCGTCGGTGTTCGATAGATCGTGCATCTCATACAACTTTCTCTCGGTGCCTTTGGAATGTTCCAGCAAAATCGATGCAAAGACTGCCCATTAAAGGTGTAAAATGGTGTTGAGGAAGGCTATATGAAGGATAGCCGATACTGAAAACAAGTTTTCCACGAACGTGCATAAAGGTCTGCAATTTAAAGTTAAGCCATCTTCTTTCGACACGGGAGGGTGGAATACTTTGGAAATAAGATACTTACGGTTTAAGGTTATGTTGTCTGTTACACGGGCGATCCCATTCAGCCAGTTTCCAAGGCTACTTTATGAGTTGGGGGGGGGGGGTCCTAAAGTTGGTTTGTACAACTCGTACACGGGCTATATGACGGTTGTAAACTAAACACACGCGAGTCAAACAGCGGCGCAAGTATAATGCGAAAAGTTAGCTGGAGGTGCACGCAAGCTTTGTATTTTAGTCGGACATTGACATAAACACGCGCAAGTTATAGACGTCGTACTTAGCCAACGTCCGCATTAGTGCGTAGCATTGCATCACAGCAAGACGCAGCGATATTCTGCACTGGAAAATATCGGGAATAATTAAGTAGTGTGTTTTTTTGATACTGCATGCGCTTTAAATTCTATCAACTCTATGATTATACCCCCTTATGCTCACCGCATGTAACCATAACCGTTAACTCTCGGTGTCAACATATCTTATTCATAACCACGTGTACACAGTCGTGGGAGGATGTATTTTTTTCCCCAGATCACTGCTTAGTTTAAAGAACATAGTTTGGTGAATGTAGAACCTTCACATTAACGTGATCTATCTAAATCGTGCGGTCGTATAGCAGAGTATGGCCTGCATCTGCGACTTGTTAAACTGGACCGCCGTTCACTGACAAACCCAATGTCGTGTATAGGTTCACACGCAATGCCGGAGACATTTCGCTTACTGCTGACACTGCAACAAGTCAGCATCGTGCTCGGGACTCTCGATAGTCGGTTAAACACGTGCGGGTTTTTGTGCTTGCACAATGTTCACAAGACAACAACAGCAACGACAACAAAAAAACACTTGATAGACCTCTGGGAAGTTGATGTGCGCACCTGTATGCGTTCTAAGGAGGCATTAGAAAGGCCTCACATGTGGGTAATTGACTGTGGAATGCTGTGTTTTGTTGCGGTTACTTGTATCATTTACTCCTTTCCCCATCCCACCCCCATCCAACTTTTCCAAAGTGCAAGAGAGTCTCTCTCTGTGTGTGTGTGCGTTCACGGAAGCGTAATGAGGTTATTCTCACGTTCGTAGGGGAACTCAAGTCGAATACTTCGCTGTCTTCGGTGGCCGACAACAGCCTTGTCTTCTGTGCCATGTCCGCCCAGGTATATGTGAAGTGGGGAAGGGAGAGTGGAGAGAAAGAGACACGCGGTGATCGTTAGATTACGGAGTTGGGGAGTTCGGGCAAACAGGTATATATGCTGGTTAGCTTCCCCGGGGCACATTGCATTTCCCAGCACGAACTTTCACAATGATGCTGCTACTGCTGCCGTGTCTATCACCGTGTTGTGATGCGTAGAACTTCAGACCGTCAATATTCACGGAATTTCGTGGCTATTTGCGAACCAGCGTTCATTTAGTTATTCACCGCAGACTCAGACTGGTCGCAGGCAATCTGTGGAATGTGAGTCAAGTCTTCGTTTGTGAATTTCATTCATGCATTAAATGTAGACAAAATTAACGGCAATATATTCAGCAATTTTTTTAATGACTGAAATGAAATCGACAGGCTAAGACTTGACTGGAGAATTCTACAGTCATCATCAACTATATTGGGACTAAATGAGACTAAAATGTTGACTAAATTAAGAGGGTTGCATGCATACACACACAGATATACAATTAGGGCCACATTTGAATGTGCAGCATATACTCTAAATATATGAATGTGCCAAGAATGATATGTGATCGAGTCTCAGGCCTTTGTTTTTTCATACGTACACCATAGGCACAGCAATGTTATATGTCAGAGTAGATCATGTAAACAGTCACGTTGGTATCCACACATATACTTTAGGTTTTCTCATTTAAATACAAGTGTGCTGTTGACACTGAAACACGCTTGCGTGCTGGACATCAATGGGGTTTGTGTATTTGCATACACTGTATATATATTATTTTGTTAAATAAACTGTCAGTGATAAGGAAGTCGAGTAACACGTGGTTGTGTGGCAAAACTTCCTGTGGGATGCTGAAGTCGGCGAAAATGAGAACTGAGCGAAGAGGCTGCACAATGTGTAATTTGTGGTTGGGTTTGTGCAAGATAGTTTCTGTGCATTTAAGGGATTTTTTTGTTGAAGGTCATTTCCATGAAATTAATTTCCCCCTCCCGTTTTTTTTCAACGATTGCACACACACTATGTAAACACTATATTTTAGTGCTGTAGAGTATATTACTAACGTGATAGATGTGATATTAAAACCGTGTGGAGGTGTACACGTCATGCCTGTAGGTGTGTATTTACCGAATTGATATCGTGAGCACACAGATATCGGACTTAAACCAGCCTCGTTTTGGGTTGCGCCCATTTGCCTGTGTTGTGCCAATTTGTATACATACAAAACGCAGTGTATGTGCATTCAACATATTGTAGTAATAATTATTCACGTCCCTTTATCAACCCACTGTTGGATGAACGCCTCCGCACGCTACGCCATCACGAGGACTGTCTGGCCGTACCCTCACCACGCTGGCCGGCTGGTTAGAGGCCAATTCAGATATCAATCGCCGTCGAACGCGACCTGTGGCCAGGAATCATGGCGCAATGTGCTCATCACTGCACTACCGCTCCCCCAAATTCAATACACATGTCTGAGAAAATTTTTCGTTGAAGATTCATATGATATATAACCGCACTCTCTGTTAGATAATTATACATCAACAGGATAAATTGTCATGGCTGTTGCCCCATTCCAACCAGAAGCCACACCCATGATTGGATGTGTCAGTGCACACCATCCGATTAGAGCGGTTTGGCTACGTACGGTGCGAAACGAAGTTCAACATACAGACATCTGTACATGCATTCCTAATTGCTGTTTGAATGTCTGATATTTTCTTAAATTGTGACATATGGACAATTTATGAATGCACCTTGTACGTAGAAGCATTGGAATGTGAGCAATTCCTACTTTACAGCCACCCTTACACGTGTGTGGAATGTATATGTATTTTTTTTAATCTGATACACAGTTCTGACCTGATCTGACAGTTGTGTCCTTTATTGCAGGATTGTTCTAGGATCTTTCAAAGTCTCTCGGTTTTGATCACGATTTCACGTGCTGCTTTGATGTGTATTACCTAAAAAATGGCACTTGATAAACATTTGAACTCGTGGCACTTAAGATTTGAAATCGAGATACAAGTTTGAACTCAAGGTCCTTAGGTTCCGTAACCACACACCACACAAACCTCACCAGACGGCGGCATGGCACCAATGGTAATTATTGCAAGGCAGCCGTGCGGTACAACTTGGTACATTATTCTCGCAAATGTTTGGCTCTTTGATAAGTTACGCTCTTGTAACCTTTGACATTTACACTGCTAAAAACCCTAAACACAGTCATATTTTAGCTCAGGCAACTTGCAGTGACCCACAGTTTGTAAATACGATGGTTTGTGAAGGTATTTATCTTCATCACTTCATAAACTAATGACTGTGAAAGAAAACCCCATCGGTTGCAGTCTAACAAAGCTAATAAAGTAATAGGTTTTTACCCTTTAAACTGGTACAAAATCTGACACCTTTATACAAGGCATCATGTTTGCAATAACCTCAACACAAGAAGTCAAAATGCAAACAAAAAGAAACAACTCTGATGATGATAATGATATGCACTGTCCTTGAAGTTGATTGGTCCACACCCGAGACAGCTTTCTTTAGAGCCTAGTCTCCATTGGTGTTGGACCAGATGACGCCAAAAGGCGTACAACTCAAAGACAGCGCACTATCAGAGTATTGAGAGCTCGGGGTAAGCATTTACACTATAAGATCTCCTTTACCAGTGGCAAAATATAGTAAAGCTAATAAAACGAATAAGACAAAATGAGCCGGATGCGATGCAAGTGAGATGGCGAAAACAAGACAGAACCACCCCCGAATGATACGTTGACCATGAATCACGACAGTGCATTGCACCACTTGACGGGGCGAGTAATTGCATGAACACCACGCAGCCAGCGGTCCCTTATGGTCGAGGCGCGTGTGTGTTGCTTGCCGTCACGCGTGAGGTGAGCGACGTGGTGGTAGTCACGTGGTGGGCAGGCACACGGGCAGCAGTGTGCCTCGTTGTGTCGCCAGCAGAACAGCAGAATCTCCAATTTTTTGGCGACTGTATGACATTTGATTCTTTTTTTTAAATCTCCATGAGCGGGTAATTGATATTTAACATATATTTGTAGGTGATGTGTTGGCAGAGATGATAGTGATACAGATATACCGTATATGATCCCCAACTAATTATTGAAGAATGTTCCTGTTCAAGGAATGAATAAGGGTGCCTTGAAGGACAGCTTGGGGCGTTTCTCCCACTACTGTTAGGATCGTTGGGCGGCAGCGTGGCGCAGTGGTAACGGATGATGTATGTTGAACTTCTTTCGCACCGTACGTAGCCAATCGAAGGTGCTAATCGGGGTTGTGCCTAACATCACTCGAGTGACTGTTTGTGTCGAGTTTACATGTTCTCCCCATGTTCTGCACGAGTTTCCTCTGGGTTCTACCGCTTCCTCACATAGCTCGCAAAAACATACCATGTACCTGGTAGTGGCCTCAACATCCCAATGCTGAAAATTTACCAACAAATGACTCAATGGTGATTACACGTAGCAGCATCGCACCACTACTGCAAACGTTGACAGGACCCTTTTGAAACAGTCGTAACAATCTTCGAGGCATTCGTGGGTAAACAAGCTTAACAATAATAATCTTTGCTAAATTGCTTTTGTTTGGCTGCTTATGCCTTTGGCATTTACAATTAATCCTAGGAATCCTCAACATGGTTTTAAGTGACTTATGCAACTTGTAGCAACCAAACATTCTGAAATACACTGATTGTGAAGGTTATTAATTTTTCATTTTTCTTCAACTCATTATTAATACTTGCTATATTAATCACGTGCTCGTGTCTGGCTTTGGGATCGACACTTCTCGAGGTAACCCCTTGGCACGCGCCTCTAGAATGTGCCACCGTTACGTGGCGGATTACACCCCTCTTTTTGCTTACGCATCAATAAGGAATCTTTAAAATATACACGCACTAGCGATTTGACTCTGTGGATGTCAACAGGACAGAACCAGAGCTTCTCTTTCATAATCATCATCGTCATGATAAAACGGAACATCTAGGCCTTTTCTGTTTGATGTAAACGTTATATTTGTAAATAGTTAGTGAATGAAGGATAAAGCAAAAACATATATATTGCTTTTAGAGACCCATATTTAAACGTCATACATACCAGACTGGTTTTAGATGAGCTCGTATCACTAACTGTACTTTTGCTTCTTGTAGAGCTGTAATTCTCAAAACACTCTCTGGCATCACTGACACTATTGCCTGATGACGAGCAGCAGCGAAGGCTTCTGTTTCTCGATCTGACCGATTGTTCGTATTCCATCATTGGGCTGCCCGGACTCGAACCATCACAGCTGAGCCTGCCAGCCTCTGAAATACTGCCAGAGGAAGATTCCTGTTCATGGCCCAGGCCCTCCAGACTCATCACCCTCTTCCCTTCCTTCGCATCCACGTGACGATCATCGCACGTGGCAGGGTCCTCCTTGACGCCACGGGCATCCCCTTGGGCCGTTGGCAAGTCGCAGTCGGCGGTCAGCTCCATCACGTAGACCACCGGCACGTAGAAGGGCGACGGCTCGCCCGGCTTGCGCACCTGCCACCACTCGTCATTTCGCTTCTGGACGAGATGGTAGACGTCGCCTTCGACCATGACGATGCGCCGTCCGTTCGCGTTCGTGTACTCGTAGTCGTAGATCGCCTTGACGGTGGTCGACGTTTCAGCCCCTGTGCCTCCCCGGTGCTTGCCGGTCTCTGCGCGAGCTGCTGCCGCTGCTGTTTCCCGCTCCATGCTGGCGGAGAGAAGGGCATGTGGTCAAGCTGGCCGCCTGCTTGGATGTAGTGCCGTGAACGTTGTGCCTAGGTCATTCGGACCATTGGCTGTTATGCAGATCGTGGCATTCTGCTTTAACTACAACCGTGACGTAAAGATTCGAAATGACCGTTGTCTAAATAAGACAGCAATGTGTGAACACTGCTTGTGATAAGAGTGTATCTATGACGTCTTTCTATAAAATAAATACAATTAATGCCCCGTTCATCAGTGACACTGCATGAAAACATAAATATATTTTAACGCATGTTACTGCTTGTCTATTTAAATACATTACCACGTACAATGTTTCCGTTATAACAAAGCGCAAATGACACGTGCGGTTTTCTAGTTTTTGTGTTTGCACACCACTGCCAATGCAGTCCCTTCATTTGTTTATTTTGTTTATGACATTTAATTGTAAGTATAGTTTATAAATCATGACATATTTACACTATATATCATCCCCATACTTCAAGACCAGCTTGACACATAGCAAATTATGAACATGTACATTTTTATTCGCTGGACTTTGTGAAATTACATATACAATACAACGCGATACTTTATCTAGTACCATACCACGCAACTGAATAATTGATTACAAAACAAAATCCACATTTCGCGTCATTCTTACATTTTCTCCACCATTCGAGAGACAACTCAGCTGGTAATGGCATTCGACAATTAGAGAAAGCTTTGGGACAGGGAGTGGCAGGCGATGGCTATTGAGGAACTAGATTGGTTTGGCCAATGACGCTGCTGAGCAGAAAACAGGAAGCAATGCTGCATACTAAACTGCTTACATCTTTTTTTGGTCTACACATTCGCCTTATGCAAGATACGTTGCCCAATTTTCAGTCTTCATACACCAATGTGCATTTTCTTTCACGTAGCTTTCGTGCATGCGATACTAAAATAAACAAGGGTTGTAAAGCGTGTCGTTGCTATCAAAGGAGTCTACATCTTGCCCATGTACAAAAACACAGCAAATCAATTATGCTTCGAATCAACCAGTCTCGTTATTTATTTACCACCCCAAACCTAACGTGGGGACCATCCAGCCAGTGTGAAGTTAACAAAGTGCAGCACGAAGCCAAAGAGATGATATTCTTAGGTTTTTTCGATAAAGTCACGTAGGTAAAAAATAAAATTAATAAAAGTAAAATAAAAATCACGACGTTTCGGAGGCAACACAAACTTGATACAGCAATCGTGCTGTGACGGTTCCACCTGAAGACGGAAGCTTGTGTTGCCTCCGAAACGTCGTGATTTTTATTTTACTTTTATTAATTTTAATTTAATTATTTACCTACGTGACTTTACAGAAAAAAACCTAAGAGTATGAATCCTTGCAGTCACGAAAGCTTCAAATCCAGAACCAAAGAGATGATGTTGTTGAGTGGAGTGTATAATAGTGTCCACTTCGGGCGTGATGGATTGGGTTTCATCACTTTGCCCAGCAGGGTTGTTTTCACCTCTGTTAAAAATCAAACGTGTTGATTATTAACCAATGCAAAACGCTGACATTAGACGAGTGATTTTAATTTTGCAGCCGCAACTGAATTATTGTATCGTGAAATTAATACATTACACATGTCCCTCGGGGGAGGTGTGAAAGAAACAAGGAAGGGATGGGGCTACCGGGAATTGATGTTTAACATCGCAAGGTTAAGGTTTGCGCAAACCTCTGAGGTCTTAAACTAATGATCTTTGAGATGCAGTCCCAGTAAAAAAAACTATTCTTTGTGGCACTTATGCACATCATTTCTGGACAGTCTAAGATAATCTGATGCTGTTATGTCAACTTATATCAGCACACCTAAAGCTAGCTATGGTGTTCCTTTCTGGATAGAATGCAGCCATCGATAAACAGAATGTGATGGTATCATGAACACAATAACCATAAATCTGCATAGGGGCCGTCTATAAATGACGTCACGCGATTTTGGACGATTTCTGACCCCCCCCCCCTTCGTCACACGGCGTCACAAAAAGTCAGACCCCCCCTCAAATATGACGTCACAAAGCTCTGCCCCCCCCCCCCCCCACCAAGATAAAAAATGCTTCAAATCGCTCTAAACTATTGTCATTGTAGTGCGTATTTCATGTGGCGCTGCACTCTGATGTTGTAGGAGAAAACATATTAAAAAGTCTATTTAATTAAGTAGAACGTGTTGTCTATATTTATGTAAAGTTGCGCATTTTGATGTGACGTCACATTTCTCAACCCCTCCCCCCTCGTCACACATCGTCACAAATTTCTGACCCCCCCCCCCCTAGGTGCGTGACGTCATTTATGGACGTCCCCATATAGCAGTGGTGGCATCAAGAGGTGCAACACGGGGAAGCAAAGCAATGCATATTGAGGCTTGGAGATCTAATATACTTGGTGTGGGCCTTCCTGGTGTTAATAACAATCATCATCAGCCATGATCTATCTACTGCTAAAAGAAAGCCTAGTAGTTCTCAATGTTTACTAAGGACTATGAGCAGATGATCACTGTTCCATGCTCATTTGAGTGAGAACATTGTTTAACTTAATATTTAACATGTTTTCAAATGTTCACTGTCACTTTCAGTGTAAAGGCTTCCGGTTGTAATTCGAGGCGTGCGTGTACGGAAGCCATTGTTTTCACATTGCTTTGAGAGCAAAATAAATGTTATGTCAACAAGGCCTGACACACGAAATCCATAAACTGCGTAAAGCTGTCCCATACCCACCATCTGAATACCTGATCACACTTTCCACTTTGCAGCTTTAACATTGTATATCTCCAAAGCATTGCATGGCAGATCAAATATGATAATAGTACTAAAGATCATCGTAATGTTACCACGTGTTGCGTTGTATCAGTTTTGCCTCGACATACTTCGGATATTCTGCAAGAAGAAACGTTTCCATCGAGCACTCAGGCACACGATGTCTTATCTAATATACAATGTCATGGGACCATGTACGTCTACCATTGCTTCATTTTAAAAACGAATGTTCTCTTGACGTTCGATCAGGTGCCAGTGAGTCGGCGTGTAATCTCGAGCATATTGGTGGTCTTTTTTTCTGAAGTGTGTTTCCAACCGAACGCAATCTTTACTCTCAGAGTAGTCAGACGACTGGCAACATCAGTAACATATACGGCTGGTTGTCTTATCTAACCATTCGATAGATGTAAAGCTACCCATGCTTGATATCGAGGTCGAGACCCTTTTCCGCTAAATCCAAGCAATGGTCTGGAAATCTATGACCCAGTTTGAGCCCCCCCCCCCCCCCCATATCTTTGTGCAATGTCGTGAACCAAAAAAATGTCAACTTTAAATGTGTGTCCTTATGGAGAGGACATTCTTTTTTTAGAGTTTATCACTCAAAGATCACACAATTCACGATACTAAACTGTGTAGATCCTGTGCTGTGGGTAAAATTGGCTATTAAATTACTGGCAGGTGCTAAATTTGTCCATAGGAGGGCATTGGGCCAACTTTAAAAACAGCAGTACGTCGCTAAGTTAAGCTATTCTTTATAAATATAACAGAGATGAGAATGATTGTATTATATATATGCCATACAAAGAGGCCAATCGCAATTAGGTCCATGGATATATTTTTATTCTGTTGTTTAGCACGTGTAGAATAACATCCTTCAATGTAATGTTCGACAAGTTTACCATTCGTGTTAGCATTCTTTGAACGTGTTTTTACTCACAATGCATTCACTTGCTCAAACACCATGGGATCGCGCCATGCAAATCAACAGAGTGAATTTTTTAATTAAGCAATGTAATCATAATTTTCATAAAGCTTTGCTTGCGCGAGTTCCAAGTTTTATATGAAAAGGGGCTTATTGAAGGAAATTATCACGTGGCACGCGTGGAATGTGATTTAATGACCAAATAGCGCCACCCGTGGTCTGGAACGGAGGTTTGTGCATGCAAAATTGTAATTTGGCAAACATTTATTTAATGCCAAAACAGGTCCAAATATTTTTTTATGATATTTTGTGTTGCTATGTCCTACTGAATTGCTTTGGAGGCTATCATTTACAAATGTAACCCATTGTGGTGTGTATGTAGATGGCACAATTTTACTTATTTAAGCCTAAATAAATCTTGACCTAAAGCTTTCGTGACTGCAGGAATTCTATCTACGTGACTTTGCCGAAAGACCCAACGAATATAAGCCTAAATATTTTAATTGAATTTACCTTGTGTTTCTGTGCCTTCTAGCCACGTCCTACCGTGTTGTTTCGTGTAATTAAAAGTCACAGCAGATGAATGCCGTAGTTGCTATTGGCACGGCATGTGGTGGCTGACGAACCACGGAAAAGAGTGGAACTCAGCGCCGTGATCTCGCGCGAGGCTGAGCAGAGCGAGCAAGAGGACCTTCACCGGAATCTCATCTCAGGCTGGAACCAGATGGAAGCCATCACCTCGAAGCAAATTCAAGCTGAGATGACTGACTGGAGGCCCTCGATGGGTATACAACATTACAATCTGGCCTTAGTAAGGGTTGGTTCTTACAATGGACAGGGGTCTTTAATGAGAATGGAGCCAGCACGATAACTTGCGTGTAATTGGCACTAATAATTGGGCGCGCTGATTTTGAACAAAAAAATTGTTTTCCAACAACCTATGCAATACTGCGTCCTAACAAGTAAAGCAACAATGTTAGGGGGGGGGGGGGCTGTCATAGAATGAGGTCGCTGTGGTAAAAGACAAACATATCCTCATCACAAAAGCAAACACAGCTTAATGACTTTCACCCTTCACCAGGAATAAGAACCCGCACACGATCGCCGTTGTGGAGTATTCGAGTGCAGTAACAACATGGCAACGGTACTCGTGTCTACTACTATGGGTTTGTGTTATTATGTCAAGCGTTGGGATATTAATCATGTGGAAAAAAAATGTTTTTGCTATGGCAGATAACCATCAAACCGTGCTCTGTAAATGTTGTTAAGGACAATTACTGTCGACCAAAAACATGCTTATTTACTTTAGCCTAATGAAGAAATGTTTTCGACAGCACCAATGAGCCAGACCCACCTTGAAGTGGAAATGCAATTACCGAAGTCGAGCAAGATTTTGCTAGTCACCTCCCCACCTTAAAAAAAGAATAATAATGAAACAAATATACACAGACGATTGCGCAGCATTTTTGTTCATAAAGGAGTCGTTTGAGTTTTTAATTATCTAATTTAAATTAAACATTTACTTGACGTAATTGGCCAATGGTGAAATCTGTTTATGCGTTAATACAACTCCCCAGCAGAAGCATGTAAGATGTGTTTCAGGAACAGACTGAATAAATGAAGCGCTGTGTAGGGCAATTCCCAGCAGTAAGACTGAACGGAGCCAGCATTCAGCAGAAATTCAAGGGGATAGTTCTATATATATGTACACACACATACATACTTTGCGCAAGTTTCACAGTTTTAATGTGAGTTTACATAACTTGCCACGCTGATGTGTTTATCAAGGTACGCGTGGCTCTCTTGCATTCTGCCCCAGTTTCACAATAGTCATTTAAAACGGCACACAACAAGCGCGCGTTGAATAATTAAATGCCTTTTAAAAGTAGCTAATCTTAAAAAAGGCTAAATGCAGCAAGCGCGCCGGCCACACAATTGTGTTTTGTGTGTAGGGGTTTAAAGTTGGGTCTCCTAAGCCTCCAATTCCCGCGACTCGCCACCACCACGCCACGCCTTTCCGCGTTTCGCAATTTATTCCCGATTCTAGCGCAAATGAACTAGTTACATGCTGCGCGCGCCCGATGATTGTTAAACACAATCCCCACGTGACACGCAAAGCAATTAACGCTGTCTGCGTCATGTGGAGCACGTGTGTGTGTGTGTGCGTGCACACGCACGCTCACTAAGATCTGAACCGTGATTTTAAGCGGCACTATTAACGGAGACAGCGTTAATTGCTCAGCGTGTCACGTGGGACGTGTTTAACCATCATCAGGCACGAGTTCATATGGTGGGTCGCGAGTTTAGGGAATTCCTGGTTGAAATGTTTCAAAATCACGTCTCAATTGTATACTGTAGGCTGCAAGGTTGAGAGTTAATTCTGAAAAACGTGGCTGTAAATATTTTCTTCCGATCTGATGGGGGTAAACATTCATTTGCTATTAGTCACGCTTGTTTTTGGAGGGAATATACAACTCTATGTGCGCTTAATAAGGTGTTCTTTTTGTAACTGCAAAAACATACTTTCACAATGTTACAGTGAAACCCCATCTTTACGACTTAAATCAAAATAAAACTTGCGCGACCTCAATATGTGTTTGTACAAAGTCATACCGACGACCCTGTTCCTAATGTTAATTTTACGCTCTCAACGCTTTTTGACCGCCCACATTTTATGCATAGTGCACATCTGTACCGTCACGGGCACGCACACTATCAGACTAATATGACAACAAAAAGTTTTGACTGCTGCCCGGCTGACTGGAGGGAAGGCCGGGCGGACGTGCGGCCTGTTAGTATTAACCTATGATCAGATCTTTAAAGCTCAGCAGGGTTGAGTCTGGATAGTGTTGGATGGATGGGGTGGTGGGCGCTATGCAAGCAAGGATGTGATAGGACGAGCAAGGCTGCGTGGTGGTCATCAGAGGGCAGAACGTCACAATGCATTATTGTACTGCACTCTGATGCCTTAGTCCCACTTCTATGGTCCCAGTCTTCACCAACCCGCACTGATCAATGTGAAGTATTCTCGAACACACAACTCCCGTGACCCGAAAACTAAACAGCCCTTCGTTCGTATATGCACTTAAACACGATTTATCCTATCCAGAGATTTCCTGTTTAAAACTAATGGTGCAGGATACTAGAGTATTAGTCTGGAAAGCACTTCGACTGTTGTATTTTATGTGGCGAGACAAAAAGAGTTACATTATATATACATATAGTATACGATTCGATGTTGTTCCACATCACATGATTAGGGTGTTCGACAATTCATTCATATTATTAGCTAAATGTCCCATTGCGGGACCCTTCTGTGATTATGCTTCAAGACCCACGGATGTTTAACCGGGGAAGAGCCATTCCTCTTGTTAATCACTTCGCCACGTTCGTTCTATATCTGTGCACAGAACGTCTTCACTCCAAAGTGGCGTTATACTTCGCTACATTGGGATGTTTTTCATCTCTCTCTCTCTAATTTAATGTTAAAAGTGAACGATTCTGCAGCTATTACTGCCATGCATCACAACGGCCACGTGTGTACGTTCGGTCAGTAGGGCGTGCGTGAGCTGTTCATGTGCTACAACAGAGGTGTAACATACACCGGTGGGGGGGGAGGGGGGCATCACACACGGCGGCGCATTGCTACGACTACACACGAGCCCCCCCTTTGGGGTGGATGCGATGTTTTGGACGAGAGAGCCCCCCCCCCTCCCCCACCTCGATTTCCAAGCGCAATTCTCTTTTTCGCAACCTTTCTATAAGCACCGCTGTAACCCTACACCGAGACTTAACGCGTTCATTATTTGGTTAGCGTGCGAGAGGGTAGTGTGTGTGTGTGTGTGTCCGTGTGTCTGTGTGTGTGTCCGTGTGTGTTTTGCTTTTAAAACCCCCCAACCAACCCTCTACCACCACCACCACCACGCTATCATACACACTCCTCCTCCTCCTCTTACTACTCCTCCTCCTCCTCCCACTCTGCTCCACGTGGAGAAAATGTGTTTTGAGCGCACAAGCTAACAGGCTATAGACCCCCACGTAGCTTCTCGCTGAATGCCGTTGTTGAAGGGATAATGTAATTTTTTTTGTAACAGACGTTAAAGTGAGTTTATTAGACGGACTTGCCACCACGCACCCTTGTGCCACTTGCGTCCTACGTGCGTGAGTGTTTATAAAGTGCGTTTAATAATACAGTAAATAAAAAGTTGCTTTAACTGAATTATCTTTTATTACGTTTCTTGTTTATTTTAAGACCATTTCCGCAAATCGCACATTTGTAATAGGGCGCTTCTGTGCGCAGTTTCATCGCATAGCGCAGATAAGGCAGAGGAGTAGCTGAGAGTCGCTTTGAAAAAAGGGGGTTCAGGATGGAGAGGAGAGTGTCCGTGAGGCTTCTCCAACTCTTCACGGCGCTGCACGTGATAGCCTCGGCCACAGCAGCGGTTGGGACATTGAGCCCCATCACAGGTAAGGTAATTCGTTATTTTAGTACTTTTTGTAGACTTTGGCAGTTTTTTTACGTGTTTCTTGGTTTTTAAGGCACGTATAAACGTCGCACCTTGTGCACATGATTGGTATAAAACGCTTGTTTAACATTTATTTAACGTGTGTGCAAATGTAAACAAATAAAAAACCCTTAGGTGTGTCACCATGTATTTGACCCAAAGATGAGGTCAGCTTTCAACGTTTTTTTTAATCTGAAGCAACCTCAAAACTCAAGGAGAAAAAAAAATCGTGCTCATTTGTTAAAATGTAGGAGTTGACCTTTTCGGTCACCTAGTATTTGACCCAAATGATGAGGTCACATTTCAAAAGTGTTGTGTTTTAGTCAGCGACCCCCAAAAACCTTGAAGAACGTTTAAGTTGCTCTACCCGTGTTGGAATGTCGTCGTCTTTTCCACCATTCACTTACCATCAACACGGTAATCTACAGGTTTGTGCCTCGACAGTATATAGAATGTGCTATGTTAGAATACTGGGTCAACATGTCGGATGTGATTTAACAATGATTCAGGATTTGTAAGTCGGTATATAGTACTGAGTAAACATTTTTTTTACCGAGTGAAATATGTAATACTGGAAAGTAAGAGAAAAAGTGGTGATTAATGAGACCGCAGTATCTACAGTATATATTTTGTTCTGCAGTGTAACGGGGGTACGTTTGACGTGATGAAATACAGCACAGAAATGCCTCCAGGAAATACTTAAATTGAATTTTTTTCCTGTACTTGGTCACGTATTGATTGAGACATTTGTCTGAATATTGCAACAAATAAAAGCAGTAACAAGCCAAATGTAATGTCAGATAATAATTTATTTTAGATAATGTATATTAGACGATGTTTTGCAACCAAATATTTAAATTAAATCTCTTAATCCTGTGGTAATAATGTTACCAGAATTGAGACAAGTACAATTTCTGACCTACCAAGTAGATCGATGTTAAAAAGTTCTCACACAGGTTTCTGTATCACACGAAAAGAGCATTAAACATCATGAAAGAAACCCCCGTGGAATGCAGTAGCATTCAAAAAAAAATCCGAGGCCGGTTAAATATCGCTTCATGTTGACTCTACCTAACAATGCAAGTTCGAATTAAGATAAGAGCCCTGATTGACATGCAATTAGTTTGCCTTGGCTTAGGCCTGTTAATAACATGAAATCAGATTCCACAAAGCCGGCCTTCCCAAAAATTCCATCAGATTCCACGGGGATCGGCTGGGTTTTTTTTTTCGTTCCACGGCGCAATAATTCTTCACGCTACATGGCCCAGGTTCGGTCGCACAATTCAAGGGCTTTGCACAGCGAAGAGCGCTGTCATGCAGCAGGGAATGTGCCAGTTGGCATGCCAAGCCAGCGTGTTCCGCTTCCAGAGGTCCTCGCTGGAGAGAACTTGAGATTGTGGGCTCGGTGAGCCTGTGGATGAACGAGTGTTTTGGAGGAACGGACAAGGGCCGATGTGGGTGGGGGAGTGAGTACGGAGGAATGGGGCTTTGTGTGGAGTTTTAGCAAGACGCTGCAACAAAATGGAGCTATTCATGTGGGGGTTCATGGCGTGAATGTGTTCACTCTACCGCTGCTCTCTAACAAACGTCCACTCCCCCCCCCCTCTACGCAGGCGCGCGCACACACACACCACGACCACCAACTACCACCATCTTTCTCTTTAAAAAAGAAAGTGTTGCCATTCAGAAAGCAGGCTGTTAGTTCCAGGTCTTAACACTCGTGCCAGTGCCCTAGTCGTACCCATCTTGTCAATACAAACTGTTGTAATCAGTGTACCCCACTTGCAATGGATTGTTGGAAACCTTTTAAAGGTAGGTGTCGTATACTTGGTCACGGGACAATTTTCCGAGTAATTTAATGCTTTTTTCTGCATGCGAGCAACAGTTGCCTTTATCGATGGTGATATACAGTATGCTAATTGAAAGGAGTGGCTATTCATATGTAGCAGCTATGCTCTCTAGAGGATTTAGGTTTTGGCCACAATATAGAGGGACCGTCACAGTAAATCTGATTAGAAGCACTGTGTTTGTCTAGAGATTTGCGATTTACGTTGTCCGGGATGGGCCGTATTTCAAATTGTCGTTCCCACATTTGCATGGCAATTTACGTGTTTGCAGCCTTGTTGCTTTTAGCATAATGGTAATTGGGTCTGAAACGACATGATAGGCCAAGTGAAGTAATCTAAGGTGGTTTTAATAAAAAACATGTTTGCAGCAATGTGGTTTAATTGTCGCAAAAAAAATCACAATATGTAAAAGTATTTGGAGCAATATTTGGATCAAGTATTGTATTATTATTCCTATGACAGAAACAATGTGGCGATTAAAAAAATGTCTTTGCATTCTATAAAATGTAAAGTTTTAAATCATAGCATCCCAGTTCATCAGCATTAAAATATCTGTAAAAAGAGTTAATGAATATAAACCGTTTATAAATGTCTAAAGTTACAAATAAAAACAATTCGTTTGAAGTGAAAATTAAATAGAAATATCTAATGAGTAAGGGGAGTTTTTAAAAAAAAAATAATGCCATAAAATCTTGCGACTCTTTACAAATCTGCGGCAGGCTGCACACTTTAGGGTGACATTGCGAGGTGATTGATGGCAGTGCAGTATTTTTTTGGCTAAGCCTAAGCTGGGAGCAGTTACTGCCATAGCAAAGTAGCCGCACTGACACAGATGAGGCATTGACGAGTGTGGGCCAAAATAAATAGGCGATTCAGTGCTGTGTGCTCCGGCATGTAACAGTAGCCGCATTATAAAGGACGAGAGCATGTGACGTGGATCGACCAATCCCAAAGTAAAATGTTCGCAGTACATTGTAACCAATGAAAAACATTATATACGTGTGTGTTTCTTGTAGCTCTTGAGCACAAAATGCAAAAGGCTGTTTCGTCACCCTGACTCGGTATGTTTCCTTTGTGCCAAAGTTATTAGCACCTCTAAATGAGTGTTTGTTTTTAAAACCAATCACATGGTATTTTGGTAAGAAGTTATTATTTAAAAAAAATGTAACATGACAGAAGTGAATAATTTTTTGTATGATTTTTATGGTTGATTTCTTAAGTTAATCGACACGAGGAGAAAGTTACCCGCAGGACATGTGTTTGTGCAAACGCTTATAAAAAAAAGCCACATTATGCTTTGAAGTTGCAATGATCACGTGTCTTGCTGTTGAGAGAGAAAAAAGCAGCTTATAGAGCATTCATTGTGGACTTCTCAGTGTGAATATATATGATTAATGAGCTTTGGTTTAACTGACAATACCTGCATTTTCTGCTGCCACCCTTGCGTGAACGTGCTGTTGATGCACAACAGACGGAGAGGACAGATTGACTTTTCCACAAGTGCGATTTTACCAACCGCCCCCCTTCTCGTCAGGATACGTCCACTTCATCAATGTAGCGCTATTTCTGGGTCTTCACTACGATGTGTGGCAATGGCACCGCAGCTAGCTCCACGTCACGCAGAATGATTTATGTCTGTGGTGGCAGAGAGCGGTCATGGCTGTGACATTTCGTCTTTCATTGTCCTCAGCCTGATACAACCCCACTTCCTGTGTCGATTGCAGGACACTGAAACATCAGCTTAATAAAAATGTGTGAATTTAAATAATTGCATTGGTTGACGTCTGTAGAAAGCTGCCTCGTGTAGAAAGGAATGTTTGTCATTTATTGCAATAGTTTTTTTTTACTTGAACAACTGCAGTCAACCATTGTTGTGATGTGCAATGCAGTACGCCATCAATAAATTAATAAATTATTCATCAATGACCTCTGCTCACATTTATAACTGTGTGAAGGCCCATCAAGACAAACGAAATCAGCTCAAGCCTACCATGAATCCCTCCCATTTCTCTGCCCGCTGTGGAAACACACGACTGCCCCTTCCTTATCTCCCTCGCTCCTTTCCTTCCCCTCTCATAATCATCCTCGCATCTCCGACATCGTGGCCCAAACCGGCCATTCCTCTACCTCCCATTCCTCCACCTCCCATTCCTGCCCGGACGGTGCTCCTCCTCCTTCTACTCCGTGATTGCTCATCTTGAGCTGCACCCTTTAAGTCTGTTTTTGAGAGCTTCTTTCCAGGCAAAACCTTTCCCGGTTGTCTTGCCCTATGAGCCCCTTTTGAGCAAATTTCCAGTTTGAGGAATAATTACAAAATCCACCCACGGCTTTGCACTCTTCTATCTGTCACGTTTTTCCTTTCCTCTCATTTCCCATTTGTTCGCGTCTATCTTTCCCCTCTCCTATTCCTTTATCCATACAATATAACCTTGACTCTGCTACCCTTCCCCCTCGTGATGCGCCACGGGGTTCAAACGTTCTGTTCGAGACGAAAGTCTTGTGAAGCAAGGGAGACCTTGAAAGAAAATACAAGAGAAAAACACATTCATCACACAGCAATTGAGTGCCGAAAACGAGAGGAAAGTAAATTGTGAAAGAGCGAATGAAAGTAAACCGCTGTATGCAAGTGCATGAACATGATTGTATGTTAAACTCTGTATTGCTCATGCACTTTATTGTACTGTACTTCTGTATTTTACTGTGCTCTACAAACACTCGTATAAAAATTGCATACATGTTTTTACATGTGCACATTACAGGGTGCTTCAATTTGTTTTTAACACTTATATGGGAATATCGTTTTTAATGAAAAATAACGGATAATACACTGTAACATGATAACGAATGTGTGTTAAAAGCTTCAAAAAGTCAGAGTCTTCACTTGTTCACCATCATTGTGAACACACGCCTGGAATCTTCTCCAGGTGACCTCCAGAGCCCGGAGGGAAATTCATTGTGGTATTGTTGTAAATTCTCAGGAGTGTTCACATTTTTTTGAAGCACCCTGTAGATTCCTGTCAATGTTATTTATTTATGGAAGCGTTGTGTGGAAGACATAACGGTGCTTGTTGCATATGTAGCTTTGCACTTGTCAGATTCATTGTGTCGTGGGCTA